GTGTGGCAGACCTGGGTTAGATCCCTGGGTTGGGAAGATCCTTCGGAGGAGGGCATGGCAGCCTCCAAGAATACTCCAGTATTCTTGCCTGGAGAATCCCCATGGACAGAGGAGCCTGGCAGGCAACAGTCCATGGGGTTGCAAAGAGTCAGACACAACTGAGCGACTAAGCACACAGCAAGAATCTGTAAGAATTTTGAGACTCCTCTGCCTCCATCCATTCTCTCTCCTATGCTGACTCATAATCTACAGCATCCTAAATTTCATTTGCTGCCTTTTATTCACAATATAAATTTTAAGCCCAAAGTCTGTCTCTGAAATGTTGCAATTGAGAGCTTGTTAGTTTTTCTGAACTCACTGGGAAGAAACTGGCTTACTTAAAATGTTAAGAATTGACATGCAAGTCCAAATAATTGCCTGACTTTGTGTTTTATTTAATCATATCCAATACTCGGCAAGTGAAAAAACTGGCTTAAGACTCAACATACAGAAAGCAAAGATCATGGCATTCGGTCCCATCACTTCATGGCAAATAGATGGGGAGACAATGGAAACAGTGACAGACTTTATTTTCTTGGGCTCCAAAATCACTGCAGATGGTGATTGCAGCCATGAAATTAAAAGACACTTGCTCCTTGGAAGAAAAGCTATGGCAAACCTAGACAGCATATTAAAAAGCAGAGACATTACCAACAAAGGTCCGTCTAGTCAAAGCTATGATTTTTCCAGTAGTCATGTGTGGATGTGAGAGTTGGACCATAAAGAAAGCTGAGGGCCGAAAAATTGATGCTTTTGAACTGTGCTGTTGGAGAAGACTCTTAAGAGTTCCTTGGACAGCAAAGAAATCAAACCAGTCAATTGTAAAGGAAATCATTGCTGAATATTCACTGAAGGAGTGATGCCAAAGCTCCAATACTTTGGCCACCTCATGCAAAGAGCTGACTCTTTGGAAAAGACTCTTATGCTGGGAAATATTGAAGGCAGGAGGAGAAGGGGACGACAGAGGATGAGATGGTAGAATGGCATCAACAACTCACTGGACATGAATCTGAACAAGCTCTGGGAATTGGTGATGGACAGAGAAGCCTAGTGTGATGCCATCCATGGGGTCGCAAAGAGTCGGACATGGCTGAGCGACTGATCTGAACTGACTGAATACTCAGCAAATGCATCAGCCATGTATGGATTCAATCTGGATCCAAGCTCAATTTTTTTTTTCTTCTCAATAGGAATTTTAGGGTTGATCTTCTGGCACTTGGCCAGACTAAAAAGGAAGAGTGGACTGAATCACAGGGGAGCCACCCTTCTGGGTTCTGTTCATTCGACAGTCAGCATTCACCCCTTTCCTTACTGTTTGTTGAAAGACTCTCCACTGGGTCTGAGCCGTCCAGAGGGGTGAACTGGCGATGATGCAAATACCCCTCCTCCTGCACCCTGGATGCCCATGGTGCACCCAGAGCATGGAGCCCTGCCTGGGCAAGACTTGAGACGTGAGGAGGGACCTGTACCCTAGTCTGGGACTCGTGACAGCTTAGCACATGTCTGCAGTTCTCTGGGGTGCCTGGCCAGTCCCCCTAACGCTCAGAGGGCTTTCTGGTCTCTTTCACCAACGATATGTGTACCAGTCATACTTCAAGGACCAAGCTAATAAAAACAGCATCACCTTGTGGAAAGAGACCCCGAACCTGGCTGATAACTTCTGATGAAGCCACTGTTATCCCACACAGATATTAGTGATTCAGTGATGGCCTCCCCTCTGACCTCTTTAGAGGACAGAATTTTCATTTCCTGTCTTTTTAATTGCAAAGGAAACAGTATTCGCTGCCGATAAATTTGGAGACTTTGAAAAGCCACACGAAAAATTAGAATCACTTGTAATTCTATCATCCAAAGGGGGGATCACTGTTCACATTTTGATAAACCTTTCTTTTAGTTGACTTTTATCACATACATATGAAATACATATGCATACTTATAATTTATTAGATATAAGTTGAAGTCACAAAATACATGCTGTTTGTCGTCTGCATTTTCCTCATAGTATATTTCCTGAATCTTTAAGTATTCTTCAGAAGCATCTTTTTAATAACCTGCACAGTCTTCATTTACTATTATGGGAGGTACTGTGATGAGCGTTCTTGGTTCATTCATAAATCTTCACACAGGCTCAGTGTTTTTCTTTAGGGGACATTGCCAGAGGTGGGATTCCTGGGTCACGATATATACTCTGGTCAGGCTGCACTGCCCATTGGAAGTCCATTCATGCTGATTGGTGTGGGGGGCTGGTCTGGGGACACTTGGTAATACTGGGTGTCATACTTCTTTTGGTTCATAAATCTCTTAAGTGAGGAACTATACCTTGTTGCTTTAATTATTAGTCATCATGTTTATTGGCCGTTTGTATATTTTCTTATTAAGATGGTTTTCTTTTCCCTACTGCTTGCCAAATATTGTTCTTTTGTCTGTCTTGTGTTCAAAAAATCCTTTTTTTCCCCATTTTATAATTTGCTTTTTAATACTATGTGTTTTATTTTGATAATATAAAAATTTTTAATCTTACAAATCCACTCATCTGTCCTGGGATGTTTCAGCTTTCCTTTCTTGTGTTTATAAAGTCCATGCCCCCAAAACAAATAAATTCATCTCTTTATTTCTGGGATTTTGTGTGCATGTCTTACTATGTCTAGATTTTTAATTCATCTGAAATTTTAAAAAATAAATAGCATGGATCTGTTTGAGGTTTTTTCTCCCTAATCCATAGATGAAGCTGTGCTCCAGTAAAACTTAGTCACAAAATAGGCTGTGGGTTGATTGGTCCTGACAGCCTTAGTTTGCCTATCCCTGTTTTAGCTGAATTTTTGAATCTTTTTAAGTCCTTCATCGTCGTCTCCCTTACAAATACAAAAAAAGTGTTTGTGTGTGTGTGTGTGTATATATATATATATATATTTATGTATATTGTCACACACACAAATACTTTCTGTGTGTGTATATGTTACACTATCCTACAGACAGAGGAGCCTGGTGGGCTACAGTCTGTGGGGCCCCAAAGAGTCAGACACAAGTGAGTGCAATGATGATGGTACACTATATATATATATATATATGTGGAGAGAGAGAGAGGAATTTGGTTAAAGTGTCTTATAAAATGATTTGGGAGAAATATGACATCTTTATAACATAGGGTCTTCCCATCAGTCAACACCCAGCTTTCATCTGTGTCCATCACCAACCAAAGTTTTATAGTTTCTTGTTGCTAGTTCATTTCAGTCCTTGCAGTGTTTCTCATTGTAGTTGCCACTTGTGACTAGGATCTGTGTCAGGGTTCCCACAACCCCCTGCCTGTTCCCTGATTCACTGGAATGATCACAGGACTAGGCTGTTGTGTTCAGGACAGGACAAGGGAGAAGACCCCCCCACCCCCTCACCAACCAGGCAGGTCAGTGGAACTGGGGTTCCAGGACCAGCTTCTACCCCGCTCCCCACCCACACCAACTCTAACTTCTCATCTCTTCTTTCAGTTAATTCAGTTACCTTTTCACCAGGCCACCAGCCTCCAGGAGGCTCAGGGCAGCTAGAACTTTTGTTGTTTCTTAACCCCGAGATTCATCCAATACATGGTATGATCTCTTGTGACAACGAGACACCAAAATGCACACAGAACTGAGTGAATTGCCTTTAGATCCGACCTGATGGAAGAGCTTCCTCCCCAGTCCAGGTGGAATGAGGGGTGTGGCAGAGGCTCAAAGCCCAGAGGGCACTGCCACGCCCTCCCCCCACCCCGTGAGCTCCCCTGGAGGAGGGGGTTGGTCCCCTCTTGCAGAGAGCTGCAGAGGGAAGGCGGCAGCTGTGGGGGAATCCTTTCTACCGCAGGCTCCCTGAGGTCCGAATGATGCCGGTCTGAACTCTCCAAACTGCTTTCTTCTGAAATGTGCTGTGACGACGTCCATCCTCTCAGCTCCTTTGTCTTCCCCTCGGAGCTCCTCCCTCTCCTTCCAGCCGTTCTGTCTCCTCACTTTGCCCAAGGGGGAGCTGCCTTGGCTTCCTGCCCCTCCGTCTCAGACACCCCTTGGCCCTTTGATTAATACATGTGCTTGTCTTTCAGACATACTTCTTGCCCACAGCAGGCAAAGGTGCTCTGTGATGGGTGTAAAACTAGGTACTTCCCATATGAATACATGATGAGTTTGCTAAGACCTCTAAGAGGGAGGTTTATTCAGGAATTGCAGTGGCTTCATGGGGAATATTGCAACCTGGATTCTCCATAAACCAGGACCACCATCTCTCCCTTCTGACCACTTTCTGTCTCACCACTTACCCACAGGGGCCCAGGAAACAGCAATTAATTTTTTAAATTAAATTTACTTTTGGCACTACTGGGTCTTCACTGCTGCACGAGGGCTTTCTCTAGCTGCGGTAAGTGGGGGCTGCTCCCTAGGTGTGGCGCACGGGCTTCTCGTTGCTGTGGCTTGTCTAGTTTCGGAGCACAGGCTCTGGAGCGCAGGCTCAGTCAGCAGTTGTGGTACACAGGCTGAGTTGCCCCACGGCATGTGCGGTCCTCTTGGACCAGGAATTGAACCCATGTCCCCCTGCATTGGCAGGTGGATTCTTAACCACTGGACCACCAGGAGAGGCCAGCAATTAGTTTTGATATTAGCCCAAACGAAACATAATTCAGAGGAGCAGTCACGTATGTGTTTTCTGATGCTTCCTACCATCTTCCTCTTCCCGTCACCCCCTCCTCGGTCACAATGATCCTACCCTCCCTTTTAATGAAACTGAACGATTGGGGAAAACCCCAAGTTCAATAATCAGGACTTGAAGCCTCTCAGGAGGCAAACACCTCCCAAGCTCTAGTCTGGTTTGTGATTCCAGTGACAGAAGAGCCTCCTTCCACTGTGTGTGTGTCCCCTCCCTGGGGCGAGGGGACATGCTGCCTCTGCCGGTTCCCACGTGTGACCCCCGCCCTTTGTAACAGAATGTCACCTGCTCTGTTTCAGAGTTCCTTGAAAAGGAGAGGCAGCCGGGAAGCGTACAAAGAGAAGAAAGCCTTCACCCAGGTAAGCAGCATCTCACTTTTACGCGACGTCTCCTCATTTTGAGTTTTCTTGAAAAGTGTGAGCGTCACCTTGAAGATCGCCAAAGAATCACCACCTGCGCAAATATCTGAACTCTCACCCAGAGCCCCCATGGGGTGAAAGTTGTCTGCCCAAACCAAGAGCTCTTCCCTTTTGTTTCTTTCACCGGTCGGCTGGTGGTTTCCTCAAGAAGGAAGGGAACAGACCAACTTCCTGGGCAGCGTAACTGTTCTCAGATGGTGACGGGCGTTCTTGCCATCAAAGTCAGTCACATAGTAAAAGAGTGAGATATAGCACAGCTGCCGTCACATCAGGTCATCCAGAAAGCATCATTTTGAGGGTTGGAGTTTTTTTTTAATGCACAAGCTGAATAGTATCTTAAATTGTCCTAATCGAAAGCAAGGTGTTCTCTGCAAGGTGGTCTGAGTGGGGCCCTCCCTATGCACAGTGCATCATGTCCTTCAGAACTTCTTAGCTTTTCTGAGCACTCTGCATTTCTTTCTTTTCTAAATTGCTACTAGTATTAGATATTGGAAAGAACAAGGCTTCTTTGGGGTGTCCACTCCCTGGAAGCCCCAGAGCGAGGAGTGATGGGAGAGACACCGTGGAGCATCCAGGGAACTACAAGCCCCAATGCCTCCCCCCTGTTAATTCCCCCTCCCCATTCCCTTGCTTCTCTCCTCTCCCCGAAGCCCCCTTCCCCACAGCAGCTCTTATGGAAGGCCTGGCCTGGTGAGCTGGAGAAACGGCAAGGCTTAGCTGTTTTCTTCCACGTCTCTGCTGCCCAAATCTCACTTTGGAACTGCTAATAATGGGGCATTAAAGCCTGTTGTCTCCAGATGCTGGGCGCTTCAGCCCCTGGCTTTTAACACTGTTTCAACTTCCTGGCTTCTGACCGGGAAAGAGCTGTTCTTTAAAAGCGTCATCTTTGCACATCGCGGGGTGACAGCTGCAGTGCCCTCACCGGGGGTCAGTGAGGCTGGGGGCAGGAGGGGACCCAAGAGCGGGATCATTGAGCGGGGAGTTTCTGTCTGGCAGAACGGAGGAGCTGAGCACCTTGGGAACTGCAGGTCTGCAGCCAAAACTCAGAGGAAACTGCCGCCCCGGCGCAAGGTAGGAGCACGAGCAGCAGTCGTCGGCACTGGGGTGCTGGCCAGAGGCAGACTTGCAAGCCAGAGAATATATACCCACAGCGTTATATTTCTGTTGCTTGTCAAGGCCTTTCCGCTGGTGGCGGCGGTGGTGGTCCTGTGTGCGTCCTCCCCCACCCGGGACCGTGCTGGGCTTCTCTGCTGCACCATGAAGGGTCACGGGTCACGTGGGCAGGCTACTGGATCTGCTTCATGCTCCTTCCTGGAGCTGTCGGACCGTCTCCTGAAACCAGAGCTCGAGGTCAGCCTCGCCCCTCCCGGGGAGCCTTGGCAGAGTTCTAGAAAGTCTTCAGTTACCAGATAAGATGGGTGTCCGGCCCACACTGCTACAGCTGAGCTCTGTGATTTCCCCCATCATATCAGAAGTTGGCCTTCTGTTCCAGAACAGGCCAAGCCTGGCTTCCCCCAGCCTCCCATTACCCTGCACACCAGCTCCGGCTGCCCCCACGGAGCAATGAAGTTGACCACACACTCCCTCGGTTTCAAAGACGGCCTTTTTGTCTTTATCAAAACCTGCGTTAATCCTGGTGGCAGGGCTGGCTGTGCATGAGTGTTGCGTAGAAACGAAGCATGCTTTCGTCATATGTTAGAATTCCTGGTGTGGGGATAGTTTCTTTCCTTAAGGAGCTGGAGCCTTTTTGGATATCTGGTCAATCTTCAGGTAATCTATGAATCGGACGCTCACTAGGGTATGTCGTGGAATCCTGCTTTTTTACCCGCCCTGGATTTAAGTTCGAGGAGACAGAGGAGGAGGATGGTTCTGATTTAGAATCAGACTCATGGGGAATGGCAGGGGGTGAGGGGACAGTGTAAGGTTTCCAGAAGTCAAGGTGATTTGAGGGCTTGCTGGGGTTTTGTACTATGTAGGGGGGTGCAGATAAGTGCTTCTATCTGAGCACAGAGCCCTGGGGAACACCAGACTCCATGTGCATCCTCCGACAGCTCAGCTCAACTTTTGGGGGAACAACCCTCAGGAGAGACAGGCTGAGACACCCTGACCCTGGTTTGAGACAGAAGCGTCCTGAACTGTGCAGGGGGCTATGCCGCTCACCTGCCACCATCTCAAGGGCTCACCAGTCGTGAGTCTCCAGGGAGGGTGGGTCAGGACACTGGTCCCACCTGGGGCTCTGCTCAGGCTTGAGTGCCCGGCTGAAGGTGGAATTCCCCTGGGACATGTGACGTTCCCCTCCACTGTCTCCACGGCTGTCCCCAGGCACTGACGTGAACTTCTGTGCTTGAGGTGGAGACAGGATGGTGTAAGTGAGTCTAGACTTAGGACAAACACCAGCTACCAGGTTCCTGATCCTGCTAAACATCTTCCTATCCTGGGCTTGTCACCCCCAATGTGATTCCTTTACAAAGTACTGACACTCCATCTCCACTGACACCTGTTGTAGTTTATTCAAACCCCTTCCTGTGACAACAAAGAGCTCTCTGTATTTGGACACATAGATTTCTTATAAATCTATGTTTATCAAAAAATTTAAAAAGATGCTTTTGATCTGCCTTCAAAAGTTCTAAGAACCTGGTTTGTTTAATATGCCAATTTCTGGTACAGAGTAGGTATTCAGTATTTCCTGAAGGAATGAATGAATAACAAATAAGTAGGCTTTTCCCCTTAGTGCTAAGTTAGGATTAAATATAGTAGGTGTTTTATGGCCCATGTATTCCTGTGTAGGCCCTGTAAAAATGTACATCATTACCCCAGCAGTGATGGTAACCTATCTTGCTCCATTGCATGGGGCAGTCAGCTTTATTTCCAGTTGTCGCAGGACCCCTCGTTATGTCCACCTTTGTTGTTGTTCAGTTACTAAATTGTGTCTGACTCTTTGCAACCCCATGGATTGCAGCACACCAGGCTTCCCTGTCCTTTACCATCTCCTGGAATTTGCTCAAACTCATATCCATTGAGTCAGTGATGCCATCCAACCATCTCATCCTTTGTGGTCCCCTTCTCCTCCTGCCTTCAATCTTTCCTATCATCAGAGTCTTTTCCAATGAATCAGCCTTTCACATCAGGTGGCCAAAATATTGGAGTTTCAGCTTCAACATCAGTCCTTCCAATGAATATTCAAAGTTGATTTCCTTTAGGATTGATTGGTTTGATCTCCCTACAATCCAAGAGACTCTCAAGAGTCTTCTCCAGCACCACACTTCAAAAGCATCAATTCTTTGGTGTTCAGCCTAACCAAAACCAAACCAGACCCTTAATGTGATAAGTTCTAGATCATGAAGACTGTGCCCTCTTCCCGTGACATTTATATATCACTCTCCTGATATGCAAAGAGGAAGAGAAAAAGTTACTTGCTCCTTTCCCCCAAATTCATTGAGTTTCAGACAAAGCAGAAAGTTGGCTTCAGGTCTACTGGTGGGAGGAGGCAAGGTAGGGGCTCCCAGGGAGGTCTTTCTGCCCAGTGGTGAGTGTGCAGCAGGAACTGGTGGAGAATGAACCGGAGTGTTCTCTGGGTATGAGAGCTGTGCCAGCCTTGCTGACCCATCTGCACAAGTGACCAGCTGGAAGAGCTCCCTGCCACTCCCAGGGTTGACTTGCTGGTTGATGACTTTTCCTCCCCTGGTGATGGGATGGGACCACCAGATAAGGAGGGAGACTTTGTCTAAGTCTTGGTTCCCAGAACAGCCTTTTGGAACTTGATAGCCAGTCACAGAGGAACGAGTCATGACACTGGTCACTGTTGCCAGCCATCCAGTTGTCATTTATGAAACCGTAGCATGAGCCCAGATCCAGAATTGATGCAGCTCCAGGGTGTGGAGGCCGCACAGGGAAGGGAAGAGTCACTCTCTAGTTGGTCCTAAGAGGGCCTTCTGGACCTCGGTCCAGCAGTGCGGGGTTTTAGCAGACAGCCTGCTCCCATGACCCTCCAGAGTCCTCTGGGTACCTGAGGAGCCCTACTTTTTAGATTTTAAACCACTTAACACCTTGCCTTGGGTTTCTGGAATTAATTTCCTGCTGTCATAGCCACTAAAATGTGCTGAAGTCGAGTTTGTGTGGAGAGAGGGTGTGAGTCGGCCGGGCCTTCAGTTTACAGTATCCATCTCATACTAACCGCCAGAGCCGGGTGCTTACTCCACAGCTTAACATCCCGAGGCCCTCATGCCCATCATCTCAAGTCATCCTCACATCCTCCCTGGGATGAGTTGGGGGAGGAGGATAGGGGAGTTGCCTTGTCTTAGGTTCTCAGCAGATTTGTGGAAAGCCAGGCTGATCGGGGTCACCTGGCCTCCCCATCCCGTTAGTACCTGTGAAGTGCTGGCGGCCCCTCTGTTGAGGGAGGAGGTGAGTGGCTACAGGTAGAAGTTGGCACGGAGGCCTGTCCACCTGCCCCAGGCTAAGCTAGGAGTCTAGGATGTCTCACAGGTCAGGATGGACCCAGAGAGGCAGGGTAGGTCGCCACATTGCTGACGGTGCTGGGCTTCATTTCACTCACTCCTCTCCATTCATGGTGATGGTTTTCATGTGCATGTTTGCCCAAACTACTTGTTTGGTGTCTTTTGTTCCTGTGACCAAGCAGGCCTTGGTGCCCCGGTGAAGGACCAGGCCTGCCCCATCTGTCATGGCCCCTCTTGGTGGACCCCATGCACCAACGGGAAGACTGGTGTGTGGTGTCTGTGTCTGTGTGTGTGTGTGTGTGTGTGTGTGTGTGTGTGTGTGTGTGTGAGGGGTGAGGTGCAAGGAAAATCTTCAAAAACAGGAAGGTGTGATATTTTCAAATAACCCTGGTCTGGGCTCTCTCTCCGGGCAGGATGACAGCGCGGATCTGAGGTGCCAGCTCCAGTTTGCCAAAGAGGAGGGCTCGCTGATGCTCAGGAAGATGGCCAAGCTGGGGCGCGAGAAGGACCGGCTGGAGCAGGAGCTGCAGAGGTACAAGGCCCTCTACGGGGATGCCGACAGCCCCCTGCCCGCGGGCGAGGCTGGCGGGCCGCCCAGCACCCGCGAGGCCGAGCTGAAGCTGCGGCTGAGGCTGGTGGAGGAGGAGGCCAGCATCTTGGGCCGGAAGATCGTGGAGCTGGAGGTGGAAAACCGGGGCCTCAAGGCCGAGATGGAAGACCTGCGTGGCCGGGAGCCCCTGCCCGGTGGGCCGACCTCGCCCTTCGGGGGGGACTCCTTGGAGTCCTCGGCCGAGCTGCGCCGGCACCTGCAGTTCGTGGAGGAGGAGGCGGAGCTGCTGCGGCGGTCCATCTCTGAGATTGAGGACCACAACCGGCAGCTGACCCACGAGCTGAGCAAGTTCAAGTTCGAGCCAAGGCCCGAACCAGCCTGGCTGGCAGGGGGCGGGGCGCCCCTGCAGGACGAGCTCCAGGCGTCGCGGCTGCCGGTGAGCGAGCTGAGCAGGGAGGTGCTGACGCTGCAGCCGGGCCCGCGCGCACCGAGCCCGCGGGACAGCGATGCTGACAGCGACACGGGTCGGAGGAGCGACGACGGCGAGGACGGCCGCGTGCAGCCCCGCCGGGAGGGCCCCATTGGCGGCGAGAGCGACTCGGAGGAGACCTTCGAGAAGACCTCGGGCTTCGGCAGTGGGAGGCCGTCGGAGGCCGGGGAGTGCCCGGAGCTGCTGCGCGCGCGGGAGGACTCGGAGCGCCTGGCGAGCATCAGGCATGAGGCGGAGCGGCTGGAGCGCGCGGTGGAGCGCATCATCACGGACACCGAGGCCGCACTCCCGGGCGGAGAGGCCTCGCCCGGAGCCTGCGGCCAGGGCACCAGGGAGGAGCCCCAGCTGCTGGGGACCCTCAACGCGAGGATGAAGGCCTTCAGGAAAGAGCTCCAGGCCTTCCTGGAGCAGGTGGAGCGGCTGGGGGAGGGCCTGTCCCCGCTGCCCCAGCTCACCGAGTCATCCAGCTTCCTGTCCTCTGTGACCTCCGTGTCCCGGGACTCCCCGGTGGGGAACCTGGGCAAGGAGCTGGGCCCGGACCAGCAGGTAAGGGGGCTCCTGGCTCTGCCTCCCTGCTCCGTCCTGCTCCTCCTCCTCCTCGCTGGCCTTGCCGCGCTCCAACTCACCTTGCTCACGGCTGCTTGGTTATGATCGCAAACCTGCATTGTACTAAAGCCTCAAGTTTCAACCAAAGCCTTTCTGTTGGTTGGGTTTCTCAATTTTTTTTTTTTTTTTTTGGTTTGGTTTGGTTTAGCTCTCTTTCGTTTCCTTGTTTCTTTCCCCCATTCCCTTTTATTTTTAACCATGCCACTGCTCTTGGCTAAGAGGTTCTCCCTCTTGACACGAGGCTAACCCACTGGCAGCGCCAAGGATGGACGCATTCTGTCCCTTCTTTTTTTGGCGTCCTCAACGACCAGCCATCTCGATGAAGAAGCAAAGAGGAGTTTGAAGCGCAGTGTGAGCGCTCTTCGAAGTCAGGATAATTAGCAGACTCCCCGGGAGCGGGTGCATCTGTGCCTGGGTTCACCGCCCCAGGGACAGTCCAGCCCACTGGCTCCCTCTGCGACACAGCTGGGGCAGGCAAGGAGCGTGGTGGAGAGAAGGATGGCTCTGACGGCAGCCCTGGAGCCGAGGGCAGCGAGTGGCGTGGCCCGGACGGCTCTCCCTGCACCGCCCTGGACTGTGGCGTTCGATGCCCGATGCCCAACTACGGGCGAGTCTCACTCCCTCGTCCCCATCGCATGCGCCTCGTAACCAGCGTGTTGCATTCTCCTCCCCTTTCTCTGTTTTGCCTTTCAGATCTCTCAGCCTGCCGTTTTGCTGCTCCTCCTCCTGGCTCTGTTCTCTCCTCTCTCTGATGCCGCTGTGTTTACGTTGGTTTCTCTGGTCATGCTTTTCCTCATCCCATAGATTTCCAGCTGTCTTGTCTACCTTCCCCACCCCACCTCACCTTCTTGTCCTTTGTATTTTGTTTAAAATTGTAAGACAAGTACAAAAGCAAAAAAAACAAATCCCTCCCATGCACCTCACAGTCCAAACTGAGAGATCAGATGGAATGGCAGCCGGGGCAGGAGCGAGGGGAGGAGCGGGGTCACCTCCATCTCCGCGCCGCACGGGAGCTGCACCGCCGAGCCGACGGGGACGCCGGGAGCTGCCGGCCCGGAGCCCAGAACTGCTTCAGCCTTGAGGTGAGCAGGGGTCCCCCTCACCTTCCCACTCCTCCTTCGCTGTGTGTCCGCGTGATGGTTCCCACCTAGGTCCAAGGCTGCTAGGGAACGTGATGGGGATGTGGGACATGTGAGATCGGGGGGTACTTAACTGAATCAGAGTCCACGGTATACAACTGAACTGAGGGGTTCACACAGGGTGAGGGCAGGGGGCCTGGAAACGAAGCGAAGTGACTAGACTGATTCATGAGGCTCTGTGGCTGCTTGTCAGGCAGTGAGGAAAGTAGGACTGAAAACCAAGACTGTCCCACCTGTGTGTCATCCCCCCCCCCACCTGCTCCAGACATAGGGCAGAACCGGGGATGCTCTTCTGACCCGGGGGCTCTTAAGCAGTCTCTGTTGCCATAGCAACCCATGTCCACAAATCTCAAAGTCACCATAGGTAGTACTGCTTTTCCTCATCCCATAGTTTTCCAGCTGCCTGTCTACTTTCCCCACCCCACCCCACCCCCTTGTCCTTTGTATGTTGTTTAAAATTGTCAGACAAGAACAAAAGCAAGAGACCGAATCCCTCCCATGCACCTCACAGTCCAAACTGAGAGATCAGATGGAGTGGCAGCCGGGGCAGGAGCGAGGGGAGGAGCGGGGTCCTGTTGTAGGTCACAGTTGTCCCATCCGCGAAGGCTCCTCCCTTTAGGTAATTCCACCAGGACAGAGGCTAGGTGGCCCCGAGGGGCACATCTGGCCCTGGTGCCACCTGTCGAGGAAGTTGCTGCAGGGTTAGAGCCACGTGTTCTGTGTTAGGAAAGGTCGGGGTGTCTGCTTCCAGAAGCAAACAAGCTCACCTCTCAGTCAGGTGAGAAAGTCCCCTAAGAGTGCTAGGTGCTGTGAAACATCAAGTATGAATAATCATCAAGAACCAGAAGGAACATGTCTTGCTGTTGAAGACTGCCTGGCAGGAAAGGGTGTCACGGCTCCAGTATCTGGTACCAATTTTCTGTTTCTTCTGGTGTGATTTTATAACTGTCCATGTACAGTAAAAATGGCCAAAAACTAGCCAATCAGACTACATCAAATGACAGCACGTGTAAGGCCAAAACCAGCCCATCTGCATCTTGTCCTGCACACAGGTCAGAGGCTGGGCCACATAGCCAGTCTTCTCTGCCCCCCGGAGGCCCTTTCTCCTCTGTTTGGTCCTGTCCCGGTGCCCTCCTCTCTCTAACACTGTCCCGGGTGTCCTGTCTAAGCGTGTCCAGTTCACTGTGGTGAGGTCAGAGGACTCCCTCCCCTGCACCCCCAGGCCCTCCTGGTTCCCCAGGAGCGACAAGTCTGACCCCCACTTTCCCGGTCACATGTGCTCTGCACAGCTTCAGAAACCACAGTGAATCTGGAGAGAGGAAGACACTTTGCTGAAACAGTGTCATAGGAAAATAAACCTTTGTAAAAGGGCGCGTAGCAGAGTTGGCTGGTGCTGTGTGGTGACTTAGGGTCACCGAACAATAGGACTCAGAAGGGATCTTCAGACAGACCTCTCATTCTACAAGTGGGAAGAAAGCGCGAGGCAGTGTCAGCAAATTCTCCCCGACCCCAGCTAGGTCCAGAACTGCCTCCTGGGGTCTCTCCGCACCCCTGCCCCTCCCGTGAGGAGTGCTACTATACAGCAGGGGCTGGTCCCCACTGACCACCCCGCTCCCAGGCCTGGACATTCCAACAGGCGCTCCATCTCATTGGAGGGCATTTCCAACCACAGATCACTAGGGTGACTAATCTTATGTCAGCTATCTTGCCATGGAATGTTTCTTCTTTCAAGCATCTGTCTGGTTTCCTTTAATTTTATACATTCTAATGAGACAGTAAAAAAATAAAAAACAACTCAGTAAAAGGCAAGGTCCAGGAGCATCACTTTCTAGAAGGGGAAACTGATTTACTCAGGAGTTAGACACGCTTTGTTCTGACTTTTTATTCACCAAGGCATTTCACACAGGAGAGAAAACTCATGTATGCAGACACAATTTTACAGTACTTTCTAAAAGATGACCCATGTTTTCTGACCCCTCTGAAGACTCCACAGTTTTTCATTTCGTGATGAGAAGAGCCTCATGTTGATCCCACGTAGGGTCTGGTTCTCCGTGGAGTGGCTGTGTGTGTGTCCCTGGCATGGATGTCACCCTGACAGACTGCTCAGCTTGGCCTCTGAATGTGATATTGGGTTAAAGGATCGTACAGTGGACAGTTCTAGAGGGCAGAACACTCAGAACCCTTTAGTGAAGACTTCACTGAATTCATTGCCAACACTTGCTTTCCCATGAGGCTCTTACTGGAAACAGTACACACAGTAGCAGGGCAGCTGGCCAGAGAAGCGACTGTGGGTTAAAGACTCGGGGCATGGGGCACGGATGCCATGGAGCGCCGTGTAACTGGGGGGAAGGCAGACAGAACAGACCTTTTCATCTAGAACAGGGCTGAGACTGAGGCAAGGTGTACTGCTCGCAGGTTTTTTTTGAATTGATGTGTAGTTGATTTACAGTGTTGTGTTAATTTCTGCTGTACGGCAGAGTGACTCAGTTACATGCATATATACAGTCTTTTTCATATTCTTTTCCATGAAGCTTTATACCGGATATTGAATATAGTTCCCTGTGCTATACCGTGTGACCTTGTGCGTCCATCCTATGTTGCATCCAGATGCTAGTTGGCATCTGCTAATCCCGTCCTCTTACTCCCCCTTGCTAACAGTGTCCGGACTTCCTCTTCCGTTGCCCTTGACGTGACCTTGGTTTGTCTGCACCCTCTGACTTCTCTTAAACACATGTGAATTTCCTTCAGCCCTTGGCTCCTTGGAGGTGCTAGTGGAGGGGTTGACAGAAGCCACCCAGGATCTGTGGCTTCAAAGGAGAAGCAACTTTCTGAATAGAAGCTGAAGTTTAGAAGATTCTTCAAGTCCCATTTGTGAAGTGACTTCTGTGTTTTTTTGCCTTATAGATTTTCACGTTTGGGGGAAGGGGACAGAAGTTAAGTGCTTATTTGGGAAGACTTGGGTAGACACCGAATCTTAGTAGTAGGTTTAACTACTAACTCGCACCAGCAGTACCGGCAGCAGCAGTCACAATAAGGCGAAAAAGAAAATAACTGCCTTCTTACTCGGTAGCATGTTAGCAGATCCTGTGATCTGTGCGGTGGGAGGCCCACCCCTCGGGCTGCACACGCTGAGCTCTGGGGGGCATGGTGTGTCCATACCCAAGCCCGGCCCCTCAGAGCTGCCGCATCCAGAGAGAGCCGAAGTCCCAACCTTCCAGCACCCACGAGCCTGCTAAGGCAGCTACAGAAAAGTTAACTGCTCAGGGGAGAACAAAGTGAGCGGACTTCAGAAGGGCCAGTACTCCAGTTGCCTGTTTCTCTCGGTGGCTGCCAGCAAGATTCCCACGTGGCACAGGCGTCTTCCCGGGCTTTGCTCCCTGGGGCTCCCGGCGAGTCTGCTGAGAGATTCCATCTGTTAAGAGCGCGGGATACGGAATATGTGGTTTGGAATGTGCCGGGCGCCTTAAAAATAGTGCTGAAGGAGGAGGAGCAGAGCAGAGGCACCGGTCAGATTACACGTAAATAGGAGACCGAGCCTATGCCCAGGAGATCGGGTTTCTGGGTCAGAAATCCCGGAGTTCTTCTCCCGAGCCCCTCCTCCTGTCCTTTCATCAACGAGAGCGCTCTTCGGTCTCAGCTGTGACATACCAGCCTCGATGAAAGGACGTGGGGTTTATATGCCAAGTACACAGGCACAGGTGCTGACCCGATAGACCGCTTTGGAAGGGAGCGGTAGCAGAACTGGCCCGAACAAAATGGAAGTCATGGGAGATGAGGTCACAGGGAGGGAGGCAGAATGGAGTCCCGGTGAATGAGTAGCATTGTTGTTATCTAGTAAGTGGCCACATGAAAAGGTTTTTTGGTTTGATTTGGTTTTTGTTTGTGTATTGAGATAGTGAAGTTGTCTTTAGTGTGGAAAGTAACTTATACGCCACTTTCTCTGAAGATGTCCGGGAAATGAGCAGTATAGTCGTTGGAGCATACGCCATGTGAATGAGGAAGGCTGGGGTGTGGATTCCCCAGCAATAACACAGGGAGGTGGCCATGGTGTCGAGATGAACACATGTCCATGGCGTGGGGACCGCCCGGGAAGGCGTCGGCTGAACGTAAACCGACCACGTAGGACGAGGTGAATGTGTTTGGTGACTAAGCAGACTCTTAGATGGGTGGGCAAAGGATGGTTCTGGGAACTCGGTGATGAAGGGGAAGTATGTGTTTTTGGAGGGAACCTCTGTGTTGTGTAAAACCTTTCTCACACATATGGTGATGTGTATGAGCATGTGCAGTTGTATGGCGGTGGTGGAGTCATTCTGGATGGCAGTTTCTGCCATCGCCTGTTTGTATTTTGATTTTTTTCTAACACTAGAGTGGCAGCATCCTACCTAGGAGCAACTACTTGTCCACAGAGCTTTATTTCTTTTAATGTTTGCTTATTTTTATTTTTGGCTCTGCTGGGTCTTTGTTGCTGTGCGAAGGCTTTTCTTTAGTTGGGGTGAGCGGCAGCTCCTCTCTTGTTGCGGTGCTCAGGCTTCTCTTTGCCGTGGCTTCTCCTGTTGCAGAGCACAGGTTCTAGGGCACACAGGCTTCAGTAGTTGTGGCACACAGGCTTAGATACCCTGTGGCATGTGGGATCTTCTCAGACCAGGGATCGAACCCGTGTCCCCTGCATTGCAAAGGTGGATTCTTAACCACTGGACTGGTGGGCAGCACATCATGCTTCAGTGTTAATGATGTCTGAGATTTTTAATAGGACAGTGTTTCCATCTCTAAAAAACATGTCATAAAGGAGCTCAGCCTCCTCTGTCGTTGTCATTTGGACATAAAGGCGTAAAAGATGGATTCTACCAGTAACCGTTGTATTGAAGATTCCTGTAGCTATTTTAATGTAAAATGTAGCAGGCAGACCTTGTGCAGCTCCTCGGAGGCACTGGCGTCTGTTCAGTGAAGGAGCCCCAGGCCACTCGCCCTAAGCATCCTGGGGGCAACTCTGGGCAAAAAAAAGAGAGGCCTCCCGACAGAGCAGGAAAAACTCTGACAAGGAAGCATGAACTCATTAATTACGCAGCTGAGAGAGATACTCAGGGACTCGGGCAGTTAGTCCAGAAAGCCGTGTGTGAGGCAGTTATGCAGAGCCATCAGCCTTGTCAGCTCTGATGCCCACAGCTTCTAGGAAGTCGTCTAGAAGCTGCCTCATGTGGGGCTGCCTCCTCTTGGCCTGGTTTGTGGCACTGTAGTGACCGAAGCCCAGGTGATGGCATCACTCACCGGCCCAGCTGCCAGGTTAGAGGTGTGGGTGGGGCTCCGGGGGAGCTGCCGGGAGTTGCTCGCTGCTCCCGAGTGTGTCTCGTCACTCCACGTGCCCCTGCGTCGTGCACAGGTCTGTCCCTTGTCTTCAGCTTCGGCCAAGTTCTCAGTGCTACTGAACCCCTTCCTTTGTCCCACCAATCTGTTGGGGGCTCCCCCAAACAGAGTGTACCCACTGAACCCCTTCCTTTGTCTCACCAACCAGCTCAGGGGCTCCCCCAGAGTGTATCCACCAAACCCCTTCCTTTGTCCCACTGGTCAGCTCAGGGGCTCCCCCGAACAGAGTGTATCGATAAAGGAGCTTCAGGGTCAGCTCGCGCAGGTAGTCAGACCACATCAGGAAGAGGCAGAGAGATTGACAGACACCATCTGGAAGGTAAATACAACTTGGGTCCAGCACCACCTTCTCTGTTCGCAGAGCCCCGAGAGAGAGAGAGAGGATGGGCACTGCTTTATAGGGACTCCGTCTCATGCACCAACTGGGCAGCCTGGGCTTGGGACTGGGGGGCACATGGATAAGGGCACCCGGTCAAGCTGCCTGCCTCGGGGGTCTCATAAAGATCACTGTCTCCCTTCCTGCTGGAAAGCGTGCTTTTCCATCCTGACATTGGTCAATATGTGGTCTCAGGAGACGTGGGTTAGATTCCTGGTTTGGGAAGATCCCCAGGAAAAGGATTGGCAACCCACTCCAGTATTCTTGCCTGGAGAATCCTCATGGACAGAGGAGCCTGGCGGGCTGCAGTCTGTGGGGTCGCAAAGAGTCGGACATGACTGAGGGACTCACACAACAACAGACAAGCTTGCCTGTGGCCAGAACCAGTAAAGGGCCTTCCATGCCGCTGGACATGAAAGTGTGTCCATAATGTCCAGTGTCTGCAGATTGGTACATTTCGGGTCAATATCAGGTCGATTTTCTGCTAGATACATCTACAATTCACCCATTTTATTAAAAAAGCTGCCACTAATTGGGCTGTGGCCTTATCAGCTCTTTTAGCCATTTTAGAGTAACCTGGTCCTGGCTCAAAATCCTCATTCACTAAGAGCTTCCCCAGAGTTCCCAGGACCTGGGATCACTGTCCCCAGGCCTCCAAGGTAACTGCCACCCCTGACACACCTGAGACGCAAACCCAGGCTCAAATCACCATGACTGCTTTTCAGACCTTTTGTGTTTGTTCCTGGAAGAAATCTGTTATCTTTAAAAACAAAAACCAGATGATCTTGAGATGGCACCACAGTGTTTCAAATGCATGTCCTATGCACAGTAAGGTATCTGTATGTACTTACTCTGGCAAGGAATGTGCATGCCACCTAAGCCTCATGTTGTCCGTGGTTGTGCTCATCTAAATGGGTTAAAAACTGATCAAGGGAGCGCCTTCTGCCATGAAGCTCCAGGAGAGCCAAGCCAGGTACCACTAGACATGTCCCCCTTTCTAAAGTTATTTTTACAAGTCAAGTTTCACATACTATCACCAAAGAAAAGTAATTTCATATCAACTGAAGGCTAATCCCTAAGGAATTTAGCTGCTGCTGTTGTTTTTTTTACATTGCACCAAAAATCATGTTTAAAAGTGAGTTTATCCCTGGAGGTGCTGTCAGCAGAACTGCAGGATCCTGGTGTTTCTAGTACTGAATTCAGGATAAAGGGCTGTGGGGTGAAGACTCTCCCAGCCTTGGCTGGAAGTGCTGAGCAGTCATCCAGGCTTGTTCAAAGAGGAAGGGAAGGGGGTCTCCTCACCTCCCCAAGGGCCAGGGACACGACTCTGAGAGTTGGGACATGCAGGGGATCCTGGAACAGGAGAAGGCAGCAAGGGCCTTGGAGGAAGAGGGAGCAGAGCAAGCCAGTCAGGAAGGGACGTTTCTAAGAGATTATAGATCAAAACATAAACTAAAAGAATAGGCCCTCCCAGGGCTGTGCCTCCAGGAGCCAGTTCCGGGGCACCTCAGGGACCTGCCTGGCACTGGGTGCGCACGGCGGGGATCGGTTGCACTTGGCAGCTGGAACCTCACCAGGGTCAGTCAATGGCCTGAGATAACACACAAATAAATCGCAGACACCGGGCTTCCAGGAGCCCAGCCGCCCCCCTCCTGTCTAGCTCCATGTCCACAGGGGACAGAGCCAGTGCTGGGACTCAGGGCTGCTAAGCGTGTGAGTAAAATAGCCTGTTTTTCATGTTATCTGGGATAGCTTCAGGTGCCAACGAGGTCTGGTGTCAGCACCCAACTTAGTACTTTCTCTAGTACTTTAGGGGAACAAAACCAAACCCACCTGTTGGTTTTTGACACAAGAGGGGGTGTTAGCAAGACTGGCATTCTAACCCTTTCTGGTCAGTGGAGCAAAAGACTTTCAGCCTATGTATCACTTTAGCCACCATGAATGCTATTCCCGTGCCCTTATCTGCACCCCATGTGCTGTTGAGTACTAGCTTGTCCTCATTCTGTCTGGGGCTGTGGGAACCCTAGGGCCCAGCAGGTCAAGGGGGAACGACTCCCACGTACTCTGCCTGGACACCTGCAATGTGCCAAGGCACAGCATACCAGCCCCGGAGGGCAAACAGGGTCTGCCCTGGGTCAGCTGTGAGCCCTGCCTCCAAGAGACAGTGCTCCTGAAGGGGTCTAAGGAACATCGAAAAACCTCACAAGCAACTCCATGATGAGAAATGATGCTGACGCCTCCCCTTGAAGGGGCATTCTCCTCTGAGTCAGGAAGCGCTCGGGGCTTTGTGAAGAGCGAGCCTCTCAAGGAGTTTACTAAACGCTGGGAGTTGGGGGATGAGGTTTCCGAGTTTCCCATTCCAGGTGGAATGGCCGCTGGCAGACTCAGTTGGGTGGCAGGTGGGGACAGCCGCCCGTCACGGCGCCTCTCTTTTTCGTCCAAGGTGGAGGAGGAACGCCGCTGCGCCCTGCGGCGGCGGGACCGGGAGGCGAACGGCCTGGGCCTGCAGGGCTCGCTGCACGAGCGCGCCTGGGGCGACGAGAGGCACCTGTTGCAGCAGGAGCTGCGCTCCCTGAAGCAGAACATCTTCCTCTTCTACGTCAAGCTCAGGTGGCTGCTCAAGCACTGGCGCCAAGGGAGGCAGGCGGAGGATGACACGGAGGACTTCATGGAGGTAGCTCGGCCCCGGGAGTTGTATGGGGTTTGTTCTTGATGCGCAGGCCCTGCTGTCCGCCTACCCCACCCCGCTCTGCACACAGTCATGTTCTGATACCTCAGGTTATCTTCTCAAGCCCAGTCCAGGCAGAGCAAAGGCAGTGGGTTGTCCAGTGCTGCCCAGGGAACTTGTTTGAAGAACACACTGGTCTGTAACCCCATCCTGCAGCCAGGCCTTTTGCTGCCACGTCTTTCTGCTGATGGATGAATTCGTTATCACCCCAAAGTCCTTTACTGGTTCATTCCACAGTGATGGTTTGCAAACTTGGCTCTGATGCGGTCTCTCTGAGCTCCAGGGGGAGCTTTCTCACAGCCTCCGAAATCTGTATATGGGGCATATACCTACTTAGGCCTCAATTCCCAGGTTCACAGCAGGACCAGAGCTATTTGCCTTCTGATTGATGGTTATTGATTAAGGCAGAGTGGCTTTCAGCTCTGCAAGCTCCTCTCTGGCGAGCACAGGGCTGGAGCTGCTGGTGTCTGCTGCTCTGGCTGCCTCGTGGGCTGTTCCAGGGTCCCGTGGCAGTTGGTTCCTCTTAGCCCCCAAAGACCCTCTGCTCCCACTCTCCTCAGCAGTGTGTGCAGTTTTAAGACATCCTGAGAATGGGAAGATACAATGATGCTCTTGCTTCGGGTGGAGAACTTCTTCAAAAGCAAATTCAGCCTGCTTCCAGATAGCCATGACCTAGAAAACCATCATTAAGCAAAACCTGGAAGTAGTTGTCAAGTTTTCTATTGATCAGTACTTTGGAGGGCCTTCTCCTTTTACTGTAACTGAGAGCAGGAATGATTTATAAGTAGTAATATTTCTAATCTCCTCTAATAAACTGGGCACCCTCTCTGTGAGGTTTAGATGTAGAAAGTGGCCAATGAGTGAAGTGGTCACTATGAGCCTATTAGGGGGAGAGGGCTGAGAAGTGAAGTCGTGATAACCCCTGAAGTGGGTGATGAACCTCAGGCATTAAAATTCAGGCTGAGGGCAGAAGCATTTGGCTGTGATTGTCCCCTCCTGCCATTTCAGAGCGAGCTTCCAGAGACCTTCCCCAGGCTTGGGGAGTTTGGCATCCAGGGGGACACAAAGGCAGACAGTCCAGACCGAGATGACGATGGGCCAGGCTGTGGCTTTTCCCTGGGAGAGCGCTCTCCGCAGATGGGTGACCACGGATCGCGGCTGCAGCCCACAGACGGGGGGCAGCTCTCCAGGCAGGTGGGTGCTGATCTCGGCTCATTCTCCCCGCACTGGGGGGAGAAGACCCCTAGCCTGTCCCTCTCATCCGTTCATGCACTGGTGTTCCCAGGGGCAGAGAGCTCTGGGTTACTTGGCTCATTCACATAAATGAGGACATAGGAAGGGCGCATCGATTGAGCCCCCTCAAGGCCAGTGAGTGTACCTCAGGAAGAGGAGAAAACGGTACTGGATAAGGTGGCTCGTGTCTTATATAGAGGGTGACTACTTTTGCAAGGAAGCGGTGCCCTCATCACAGCCATTTAGGGCTTTGTTGTTGTTGTTTGCTGGCAGGCAACATAATGCAGGAGGAAAAGCAAGCTAGTTTGTCTTTTTATCTCCAAATGTGTATGAAGTGTTTCAGGTTGTTTTTAAGCCACACGAAACATAATGCCCCCAATACAAATATTGGATGACACTTGAAGCAAAAATGAAAGCATATGTAAAGAGAGGTGGGGTTTCCGTGTAGAACCTTAAATAACTATCAGTGTTGCCAAAAGCCCCATTTATTTTTATAAGCAAACAGGCCCCTGCTGGATAAGCCAAGAGATACTCTGGGTGCCCCAGGTTGGTTGTGCTTTTCTGCAAAACTGAAGCTGTGATGGGTTTGGAGTGCCCGGATCCTGCCTGCAAGACTAAAACTTTTTTGCTCCCGGGCTTCCTTGCCTGAGACTCTCCTGCCCTCATGTTGCTTCTTTGAGGATCTGGCAGGGAGAGCCTGGATCTGGGGGGAGGCGCAGGGCGGGGTGACCCTGGGCGCAGCTGCAGCCACCTAGTCACAGCCAGTTCGGGCCCTCCCTGCACACCGCACTCCACAGCTGCGGCCCCTCCCTCTGCCCAGAGCATGTGTGTGTGTGTGTGTTGGGGGGGTGGGGGGAGTAGGTTGTGGTTAGGATGGTTAGGACGGCAGCAGAGTGTGGACTCAGGTCAGAGGAGGAGAGTGACGCCTCCCTAGCTCACGCCTGGGGGAGCGCTCCCCCTTCCCACACCTTCTCTCTGTATACAACTCAGATTTTCACAGTTGAAGTCCTGATTTCTATGCATATCTTCACCCTTCATTCTTCCAGAATAACAGGACTCAAGAAGGAGGTTATATTTTCAAAGGAACTTTTAATTACCATTATTAGGAGGCCTGTCATGAGGCCAGTGTCCATGGGGGAGATTTTTTTAGCTCATGGAATGAGTTTTCCAGCAAAGATCTAGTTAGAAAATAAAATGCTTCTTTGCAAAACATCCCCTAAAATCAAGCAGTTTTCTTAGTTTTTAAAAGCGGTGCTATCAGGCAGTCCCACAGTATATCTGTGACTCACATAGAATTCCTCATCGGCTGCTTAGCCACAGACCCGCTGCCTCTGAGAGCACGTGTGGGGGTGTTTCCCACATGTACATCCAAATGCTTTGGGAAAGGGGGAAAAAGTAACACAGCTGGTTTCCCAAACAGTAGTCATGGAAGATTCTCCCTGTGAGATGCAGACCTATGGAAAGTCACTCAGCTGGAACCTCCTATTCTGTGCATCTTAAAGTCATCTTTGCTGCTGCCTCCTTCCATCATTCGTGTCTCAGCATTTCCGCTTTAAAGCAGAGGTGGACCGCTGTGTCCCTACTTTGTACAGAGGCATGTAGATGGGCTAATGGGGGTGGCGTCCACGTGGGCAGAATCAGATCTGCCTTTAATGGGCCCATCTGCCCACAGCAATCCAGTGCACGAGGCCGTCCATCTGAGGACACAAGATTAATGAGCTCTACTGTAAGCGACAGCTGGCGCCCGGCAGTGCACTCCTCGGGAGGGAGGTCTGTCCATCCTGTACCAACCAGGCGGCCTGGACGCGGGAGCCGGGCACGTGTCGCAGGGAGCGAGCGGCCCCTCGAGCCACACCCACCTCAGAAACTCCGAGGGCCTCCCAAGGCGATAAGCAGAGTGGGAAATGTGGCCTGACTTCTTTCCCAAGGATAAATTAGCAGGAGACAAAATTTCCCAGACCTTGCCTTGTGTCACAGTGAACAGTCTCACAGCTGAACAGGGTGGATGGCAACATTTATCATGTCAAAGGAGGTTAAAAAAAATTGCATGTATCAAGTCAACGTTGGAAATACTTCATTAAAAACCATCAGATTGGAAAATGTTTGGCTCTGTGAACATTCGGCACAGACTGACGAGGCAGTGAGCACTTTGAGTTCGCCCAGCCTTCTGCAGGGTCCCAGGCTGGGGACAAGCACCAAGACGCCTGTGACTGTGTTGAGCTTCTGAGGCCAGCACTACTATAGCCAAGTATGCCTTTGATAGTTAGTAGTAATTCCTGAAATCAGGTTTTTAAACACAGGGTGGTTAATAGTGCCAGAAGTATGACCCTGGGGTTCCAGTCTTCCCAGAATTGGATTAAGTCATTAAAAGAGAAGTTATTTTTTCATTCAGGGATGTGACATAATACTCTTTGTTAAAGCATCTAAGTTTAAGTGTGGAGTGGGCAATCGAATGCAATCATGAAAAAGTGAAAGTGTTTAGTCACCCAGTTGTGTCCGACTCTTTGCAACTCCATGGACTATAGCCTGCCAGCTCCTCACTCCATGGAATTCTCAGGCAAGAATACGGGAATGGGTTGCCATGTCCTTTTCCAGGGGATCTTCCTAACCCAGGGATCGAACCCAGGTCTCTTGCATTGCAGGCAGATCCTTTACCATTTACTATGTTTCGTGTTCAAATCTTCAAGTCTTCAATTGGCACTGGTCCCTGAGGGCCCTCCTGAGGATCCAGCTTGAGGACTGGGGGCAATCTGCTCCCTGGCCTTTGTCACTGACCTGGGACTCGGAGGCCCCCAGCTCAAAGCCAGCCTTTCCCTGTAGACAGAGTGCCTTTGGCTCCAGGGCCTCCCGGGCCTGCACTCACCCAGTGTCCAGCAGCCTACTCACTGACAGCCCGTTCTTTCTACTCTGCCCAAGATACAGAAACTTCCAGAAGCAGCACTTCCACACATCTGATTTTACTTTTTAAATAAGAAGGCACTCCTCTTGAGCCTTGATAGCTTTTACGTTTCACTTTTGTATGTTGCACCAGATTCATTCTACAGACTCTGCAACTCTCTTATAGCCTCACCTAAAAGACATGCAACTCTGTGAAAGTAACCAGACCAGAGTTTATGATTAGGAAATACTTTATTTTTGCTGTTTATTTTTGTTCCTGTTACTGTGAAAGTGGCAGGTGTTCAGGGCATGGAAAGTCACAAGAAACAAAACATTCCTGAGGAAATACTCTCAGCTCCAGCCCCACCTCCCCGACCTACCTGTGGCCGGCAGGTAGTTTGTGACACACCTTTCCGAGTGTTGTGGCACAAGCTCTGATACACTAATGAGCTTGCCAGTAATCAGTTCGTTTTTCCCATCTGGTCACTTGACTTCCATCACACTTGCCCTGGTTTCTTTGACGCCTTTGGCGACAGTTCTGGGTCTATAACGTGTTCAATCTGCGTCCATTTGTCCTCTCAAACACCCACCTTTACTCTTCTGAGGCCCTCAGTGAAAATGATGGGAGACCTGCAGGCATGGAGTCCTCCTGGTCCAGGTCACCCAGCGTATTTGCAGCCGGCGGACACGCGAGTTCTGTCCATAGACGGGTCCGTCATCTCTGCAAGCTTCCATCAGAGATTATATTCTCACAGCCAGTCTTTAATGACTCATTCTCCTTTATCTGTGGGGGATAACAGTTTTAGAAAAGAATCTTTAATCTGTATGTAATACTGAAGGTAAGAATGACAAATGGCTTATTTGTTAAAATGTTGCTGGATTAAAATGTTGTAGGGTGTATATGTACCACAGCTTCCTCATCCATTCGTCTGCTGATGGGCATCTAGCTTGCTTCCATGTCCTGCCTATTATAAACAGTGCTGCGATGAACATTGGGGTGCACGTGTCTCTTTCAAATCTGGTTTCCTCAGTGTGTATGCCTAGAAGTGGTATTGCTGGGTCAAATGGCAGTTCTGTTTCCAGCTTTTTAAGGAATCTCCACACCGTTCTCCATAGTGGCTGTACTAGTTTGCATTCCCACCAACAGTGTAAGAGGGTTCCCTTTTCTCCACACCCTCTCCAGCATTTATTGTTCTCAGATGTATAGAACAGACTTGTGGACTCTGGGAGAAGGCGAGGGTGGGATGTTTCAAGAGAACAGCATCGAAACATGTATATTATTTAGGGTGAAACAGATCACCAGCCCAGGTTGGATGCATGAGACAAGTGCCCGGGCCTGGTGCACTGGGAAGACCCAGAGGGATAGGGCGGAGAGGGAGGTGGGAGGGGGGACCGGGATGGGGAATACATGTAAACCCATGGCTAATTCATTTCAATGTATGACAAAAACCACTGCAATGTTGTAAATTAATTAGCCTCCAACTAATAAAAATAAATGGGAAAAAAATAAAATAAAATAAAATAATGGGGGGCATGGGGAAAAAAAAAATGTTGTAGGGTTCCTAGGTGGCGCAGTGGTAAAGACTCTGCCTGCCAATGCAGGAGATAGAAGGTTCAGTCCCTGGGTCAGGAAGATCCCCTGAAGTAGGAAATGGCTATCCACGGCAGTGTTCTTGTCTGGAGAATCCCATGGACAGAGGAGCCTGGTGGGCAACAGTCTCTGGGGTTGCAGTTGGATGTGACTAAGAGACTAAGCACACACAGACATGTAGAGATAATCTCAGTAAAGGATGACTTGGCGCCCCTGCTGGTGAGGGAGTTACTTTTACTGAAACTGCAAGAGGCCCCCCTCTTTATATGTATCAAATAAGAACTATGCATGGGTGTGTATGTGGAAGTGGGTGGGGGGTGGTCAGGGCAGCCAACCACAGCATTCCAGGACTCTGCCTAAGTGAGTATGAGGCAGAGGCCAGCACCTCAATTTTTTTTTCCAGCACCTCTATTTTGTGATTGACTTTTTGTGGGTCAGCCTATAGCAGCAGGTCAGTACCTCTGTTCAAATTTTAGATTACACCTGTCTCCAAAGTCAGTGGCTCTGATGCAGCAGAGTGGTTGATATTAAGTGTAGCTCTTTCACAGAATTACTTATGTGCATGTCTTATAAATCTTAAGCAAAAGTGAGTCTGTAAAATAGCTGGTGTTGCCTCACCAACTGGTCTGCTACCTTTCGATAAACTTCTTTTCTATTTCTATTAACATGTGTCCTATAATTGGATAGGGCTTCCCTGATAGCTCAGTTGGTAAAGAATCCGCCTGCAACGCAGGAGACCCTGGTTTAATTCCTGGGTCAGGAAGATCTGCTGGAGAAGGGACAGGCTACCCACTCCAGTACACAAGGCTTCCCTTGTGGCTTAGCTGGTAAAGAATCTGCCTGCAATGCAGGACATCTGGGTTCTATCCCTGGGTTGGGAAGATCCCCTGGAGAAGGAAAAGGCTACCCACTCCAGTATTCTGGCCTAGAGAATTCCATGGACTCTATAGTCCATGGGGTCTCAAAGAGTCAGACACGACTGAGTGACTTTCACTTATAATTGGATAATAGTCCTATTGGTCAAAGCCCAACCTGTTATTTTAACACTTTATAGCACAAACTCCTGATGCCTACTGGGGGGTTATTCAAGCTTGAAAGGGCTGAAATGCCCTTAGAATTGAGAAGGAAATTGTGGAAACATTTTATCCTGCTTCTTTGTAAGAAGACCAATAAGCTGATCTTAAAGAAATTGCGAAGTTGGCCTTTTTAATTACAACTGCCCATACTTACCAGAAGGGCTTCCCTGGGGGCTCAGAGGGTAAGGCGTCTGCCTGCGATGCAGAAGACCTGGATTTGATCCCCAGGTCAGGAAGATCCCATGGAGAAGGAAATGGCAACCCACTCCAGTACTCTTGCCTGGAAAATGCCATGGACTGAGGAGCCTGGTAGGCTACAGTCAATGGGATCTCAAAGAGTCGTACACGACTGAGCAATTTCACTTTTTGTATACTTACCAGATATATAAGTTAAAAGGTTGTAGAGCTCAGCCACCTGGCACAGAAGATTCTGAGAGCTCTGTATCTAAGAAGACTTTCACCTGAAGACCTAGTCTTGATTCCATCCTTGACTTGATTTGGGTCTTTCTACCAAAAATATAGCCCACCACTGGGAGAAGTGAGAAGAGTAACTTCTAGGTGTTCTTTCAGGAGTGCTACTGTTATTTCCGTCGATGGGGGGATGGAATTTGCTTCACAGAGATTAGCCGTCTTTGTTTATTTCTGGCTGTGCTGGATCTTCATTGCAGCAAGGAGTTGTGGTTTTTTGGGCTTCTCATTGCAGTGGCTGCTCATGTGAAGCACAGGCTGTAGGCATGCAGGCTTCAGCAGTGGTAGCACTCAGGCGCAGTAGTAGCAGTTCACAGGCTCTAGAGTACAGGCTCAGTAATTGTGGCACATAGGCTTAAATGCTCTGCAGCCTGTGAGACCTTCCTGGAACCAGGCATCAAACCCATGTCTCCTGTATTGGTGGGCGTATTCTTAACTACTAGACTCCTAGAGAAGCCCTAGATTAGCTATCTTTAAAATTAGGGCTCGGGCAGGGTTATGATGCCAGAATTCACATATGCTGGCGGGCTTGTCCAGTCTTGGGTAGCACAGGCAGACCTGGATTGCAGTCAGGCTCCACACTTCCTCACAGCCAGACAGGTACCCTGTTGCTGTGGGTCCTCCCCTGTGACAAGGGCACGTGCCAGTGTGCACTCAGGCTCGATGCGAGATGCAAGCACTGTCCTGTAGGTGAAGGATCAGCACCCCTAGCCCACTGGGTGTTAGTTACTGGTGTTAGTTAACACCACTTAGTGTTAGTTACCATCACTGGGTTTCTGTGTATGTAACAGTCAGTTGGAAGGATCAGTGTCTGTCTATGGCTCATTCTGGGTCTTCAGAAGTTTTCTCGTGGACATAGTTCTTGCCGTTGTTCTCCAGTGGCAGAACTAGGTTGGCTGCGTGCCAGGCCACATGCTGTGCCCAGGTGACTATGGTAACAGGGACCAATAGCATCAATTCTCTGGGCTCTTGTCCCCTTTGGCCACCTTCACCCCAAAACAAGTTTGAGCTTATCTCATGATGATTAAATATAATACTAATATAACAGGACATTATGTTGATTGCTCTGGCCCAAATGTGCATGAAAACATTAAGGCTTGATTTTATTTAATCTGGTATCTATTAATGCCAAAAAGTACTTACTTCCAGCAGAAGCAAAATTTCAGTCTTCAAAAGGACAAGTCATGTGAACCCTGCTTTCAAGGAGCACAAAGTTCTGGTCCTGATGTTGTCACAGTTGTTTGTTAGAGAAGAACCCCAAAGCTGATCACATACATGACTTGGGGTTCATAGGAAGGTACTGATCACATGTGATTTATCATGTGGTTTTCTGCTTTTTCTTTAATAAAACAGAGACAACTGCTCCAAAGTTTGGATTAAAAATTATTACAGATTTTATTCTTAAAATAGTTTGACTTGAAAAGTAGTGATTTTTTAAAAATCTAAAATCCAATGATGAAAAATCAAATCTACCATAAACATAACTTTTTAGCAAACAAATTCTATACTTAGGAAGATGTATATTTGTGAAAAGACTGTTGTAACACCACACTCACTCATACCTACAGCTTTTAAATACTTTTGGTATAGAGTTTAAAGAAACTTCTGCATTGATTACAGTTTCGCACATTTTATGAGTATCTTGTTGAGAACAGTGGTAATTTACTTATATTCTGATGGTTGGAAAGAACATACAGAATATATAGAAGGTTTTCTATTTGCCAAGTTTTGCAAATGTTAACTGAATTGTACTCTCAGTGCCTCTTAGAGCTGTTAAAAGTGAAAATTGGTTTTCATGGTGAGGAAAATCAAGCAGCAATAAATGCTAACATACCTTTCCACCTGACCAAAAGTCTACTGTATCTAATACTAAAACTTTTCATATAAATTATGGAGAAAACTATGGTGTTTTCAGTGATAAAGCTCATGTTAAGGAATTTCTCTTTTCTAACATCCAAACATATATCCAAACATATATCCTCATAAATTCTTCCCAAGCATGGCTGACCATTTTTGCACATGTACACGTGTGTTTCATGGATTGACTAGATGGTTTTAGAAGCATGATTGCCTCTCGAACTGAGGAGAGAGAGAAGGCTGCTGGGCATGCAGATCCCAGGTTCGCTGCCCTGGGACGGGAGGTTTACCAAGGAGGGGGGATTCTTCTGAGCATGAGGGGCTCTGTCTTTCCATGTTACAGCCTGCCTGCCTCCAGCAAGACTGAGAGAGCTTTTAAGTCCTCGTGCCTCATAAATATACCAAAGAGGATTGCCTTGAGACCATTCAGGGAGCTAGCAATGGGCTTTAGGTGTTTTCCATCTGGTTTCTAGAGATGGGCTCATGTGGCTTTTATTATCCAGGTACAATCATTGGTTCAGGGTGTATTAATTCATTTGGACAAACTTTCTGATATAATGCCCATGCTGAAGCGTACTGAGATAGCAGTCATGGTTTTGAAATGTGTATTCATAGAACTAGATAGGTATTAATGGAAAATACAAAATCTTTTAAGTTAGGTAGAGCAGGTTAGTAATAAGAATCCATTCTTCATTTATCAGACCTGTTTGCATACTTCCCATGAGCTGAGCACCAGAAATGTGGCAGGTGGTCAGCCTTTGACAACTTGGGAGGTGGGGGGACAGGGGAGGCACAGGATAAACACATAGGTACAGTAGTTATTCCTGCCATTAGTGAGCAGAAAAGAGATTCTGAGCAGTGACTGTATTTCGAGGGACCACGAGGAAGCCTTCACCAACATGTTAAGCCTTCACTTTTGGTTTTAACTGTTTAGACCTAAAACTCACCCCCACCCCATGACTCTGCTTGTCACACACATGACCTCTTCATAACTACAAGTTGGAGACTAACACCACGTTGATGAGACACACGAGCCCTTTATTAATTCCATCCTGGTCAACAGCTGGCACTCAAGTAGCAGCACACAGAGGTGAGTTTATCTCATTGCTCCTGTTGCCAACCAGAGCTGTGAGGTCTGAGGTCACGCAGAGCATCCTGGCAGCCCTGGCTCGGCTCCCCTGGCCTCCCTCAGCTTCTTGCCATCTCTGCTCCAGGTGTCCGTGGTGCCAGCCTTCTCATCCAAGGAGCCCTTCCTTAGCAGCATCGGCCTGGTGGCCCTCGAGCAGCCAGGGGGCCCAATAACACCCCAACTGTGCAGATTCCCACCACAGCCCCCTCCCCTGATGGCCAGGTCCCTGTCCTCACCCTCGTGAGATGCAGAGCCGCCCTCGTGTCCCCGCAGGTGGCGGAGACCCAGCCGCTGTTCTGCGCGCTCAAGGCGCTGCTCGAGGAGCTGCGTGCGGAGCTGCGGGAGGACGCGCGCGCACGCCAGCGGCTGCAGCAGCAATACGCAGGCGACAAGGCCGCCTGGGATATCGAGTGGGCCGCGCTCACGTGCCGCCTGGAGCAGGTACGGCCCCGGGCTTCTCTCCGACCGTGGGGAGGGTCTGGATCCCAAAGCCTGGCTGGGAAAGAGAGGGCGAGGAGAAACCCACAGCAATGGCCTCGGGCACCTGGGAAGTCGCCCGCCTTCCTGTGGTGCCCTTCTTCCCTCTTCTTCCCTCTCCCAAGGTGTGAAACACGGCCCCCACCCAGCAGTGTTTCAAAAGCAGCGTCTGTTTCCCTGTTCTGTGTAGAACAAGGTTGTCTCTCTTTTTTATTATCCAGTTTATTTAAACTAAAAGCATAAGAGTTCACCCATTCCCTAACCACTTCCCCCTGGCAGCTCCTAATCTGTTCAGTGTATCTGTGAGCTTGGTTTCATCTGTTTACTGATTCCACATCTACTTGTGATCACACAGTATTTAGCTGTCTCTCTGACTTCAGTTAGCGTAATGCCCTTGAGCTCCACCCGATGTTGCTGCAAATGGCATGATTTCGTTCTTTTTCGTGACTGAGTAGTACTCCATTGTATATATGTACCACATCTTCTTTATCCATTCATTCATCCATGAACATTTTCGTTGCTTCTGTAAATGGTGCTGCTGGCAACATGGAGGTACAGGTGTCTTCTCACCTGAGTGTTTTCTTTTTCTTCAGATAACAGGTACATGAAAAAATGCTGTTATTAATCCTCAGGGAAATGCAAATCAAAGTCACAATGAGCTGTCACCTCACAGCTATTGGAGTGGCTCTTATCAGAAAGACTAGAAATAGCGAGTGTTGGTGGGGAGAAAGGAGCAACGATGTCCTTAGTGCCACCAAAGCCTGACCAGCATGAAATGGTGATCAGAATGCATGGCCATCATTCAGACAGAAGCAAAGAAAAGGCAGATTGTGGTTTTGTTGTCTCTTTAAAAAAAAAAAAAAAAAAGCAAATGAATGCTTTCCGTTAGATTTCTCCCAGTGCTGGGAAGACCTTGTAGACCTCCCACTACACATGCCCTAGAAGTCCGATGAGTCGTGCTGTCCTCATTCACACGGGAGAAGTGAAGGCCTGGAGGAAGCGTGTTGTCGCAGACCGCAGAGGCTTCACTGAGAGTGGAGACGAGAGCACACGGTCTCGGAGACTTAAGACCACAGCCCTGGTCGTTAAGATCAGGCTGTACTGGAAATGCTGTGTGCTTTCTCCCTGGAAACCTTTGAAAGTGGTCACTTCCTGCATGGTATCTGCTTGCTCAGACTGCTTCTCTGGTGTCTCCCCACCGCCCCCGCCAACCCCCCCCCCCATCATGCTGCGCCATCTCAGATGATCTCTTTTCTGGGTAGACTGTAATCAAGATTTTGTATCAGTTGGCCCTGTCATGAGAGAGGAAAAAAAACCTTGCCTGAAACGAAGACATCTTCCAAATAGTCTTGATAAAAGCTGAGGGCCTGTCCTGTCAGAAGACGACAGCTCCCGCAGTGCCCACAGGTTCACCTGCCGCCTGGCCCACGGGGGCAGAAGTGCCAGGCCCTGGGGGGCCACGGTACAGCTGCCTCTGCAGGGGCAGGGGCAAAGCACAGCCAGAGCAGAGCTCCCGGCCAGGCTGGGCAAGGATGCAGCTGCTGACCTGGTTATGAATCCTGCCGACTGCCTGGTAGGAGCTTCTTACTAGATATTCTGTTTATCTCAGTTCACAGCCTGAAGAGACAGCAGTGGAGGGGAAATGAGTAAGGACGTTCTGATGAGCTGCCTTTAAGCTACTTTAAAAATATGTTTATAGGGGAAACAGCTAAATATTTTCAGAAATGTAAGCATAGCTAAAAAGAGGAGGCATAATCTTTGATGTGAGCCAGCTTCAAAACATTTCATCTTTGTTTTAGAGGAACCTGCTATCCACCCACACATTTGCTACAAATAAAGCCTTGGGGATAATCACTAAACACCAAAAAGTAAAGCTAGGACTTCAAACCTAGAAGCCAAGTGGTAATAGGTAAAGATTTCATCTTCTGTCCCCAAACTGTTTAAGAGTTTCTCAAACATTTGTGGCCCAGGGAACAATGAATGTGAGCTGATGCTAGTACATTTATAATAGTGCCATCTTTGCCCATTTCTATTTAAATGCAAAACAGCCGAGTTCTACCCAGAGGGAAATATTTTCTCTCAGTGGAGGCCATGTTGTGTCAATCCCCAAATCGAATTCCTTCAACTGACTCCTGAGTCAGAGTTTGCTTTGCCAGCGATCCCCCAACAGAAAATACAGATCCTTAGGGGGTTCTCAGTACAGTGGGAGAGCAGACAAGGGCCAAAGTTAGTAATAGAATGATTAAGTGCCCTGCCAGACCTGTACACAGGCTCCCGGGAATGGGAGTGTGCAGGGCACACACCTCAGTCTGCAGGCTCAGGGCAGGGTTGTTTGTAAAAGTCCTGCTTAGAATGAATCTTGGAGGATGAACAGGAGTGGCTACATGGAAAAGGAGAGAAAGGGACATCATGAAGACAGGAGCATGGCACACCCGAGCAGCTGCAGCTCACTGTGTATGAGTGGAAAGAAGAATGTTCAAGGAATCAAAACACTGATCCTGATTTCATTATGGAAGTAAAGCATTTTTACCTGCATTTTTAAGAAGTTATTCTGATACAGAGGTAGAGAATAGATTAGAAACCATTAGAATTGAATAGATTAACATGGGGCCATGCCTAGACTTCAGGGATCTGCTTATCTAGAGTAGGAAAAAGGGTATATCTTTGTGTTCATGAATCTTGCACTAAAATTTATCACATTCACCAACAACAGTATACCCCCAGTTCCCTCCTCCTGTCCTTTGTGCTGTTGTCAGTTTACTTCTACACATTTTGTAAACACACAGTATGCTGCAACTATTTTTACCTTAGATACTCAGTAGTATTTTAAAGCAATTAAAAGTAGAAAATGAGTTATGTTTGTATTTAGGATTTCCAGTCATTTCCAGTATTCTTCATTTTTTGTGCAGATCAGTGTTTGCTGGTATATTATTCCTTCTGCCCGAAAACTTCCTCTATCATTTCTTGAAATGCAAGTCTGCTGACAGTAATTTTTGAGTTTCCATTTGTTGAAAAACCATCCCCCACCCCACCCCCTGTATTTTTGAAAGATGTTGCTGAATACAGACTTCTGGTGAGGTCGACATTTCCTCCTCCAGCCCTTTCAGTGTTACTCCACTGTCCCCTGACTTGCATAGTTTCCGAGGAGAGGTCTGCTGTCATTCCCATCTTTGGGCCTCCATGGGTGGGGTTTTTTTCTGTCTTCCTCCAAGGTTTCCTCTTTGATTTTCAGCAGTGTGCATGTGCTGTCTAGATGGGAGTTCTTTTGCTTGCTTGATTTTGGTCTTCAACCTCCTGGGTGCTTGATGTGTGTTTATTGTAGACTGCTAGGTTCCACAGAGGGGTGAAGGATGTAGGCATAGACATGTGCCTTCCCTCAAGGAACTGCTGAGCAGAACGGGCAGGAGACATGGTGACTCAGAGTCTGCAAGGGGACTGAGGAGTGGACTATGGGAAGCCAGGTGGATTCTCTGACTCACCTCTGTGTGACTCTGTCAGATGTTCGTAATTAGGACTTTAAAGACAAAAATTGTTTCCTCTGTAAGCTTGGTCAGATTTTGATTTAAACACAATTCCAGGGATAATATGTGGATGTGCTGAGGTTTCCTTCACCTAATAATGTGAGACTGTCAGGGACTAAGTTCCCATGTCTTATCTTTGACAGCTGGAAGCAAAGAATGAGAAGAGCTTGGGAGACCCAGGCTCCTGCACCGACAGCAAAGGGGCCTTCAGGAAGGAGAGGGAGGTGCAGCAGAAGCTGCTGGCGGACAGTCACAGGCTGGTCATGGACCTGCGCTGGCAGATCCACCACAGCGAGAAGAACTGGAACCGGGAGAAGGTGGAGCTTCTCGACCGCCTGGACCGGGAGCGCCAGGAGTGGGGGCGGCAGGAGAAGGAGCTGCTGTGGAGAATTGAACAGGTGAGGGTACCCCTAGGAGGAGTGGGGATGCCTGGACTGGAAACCAGAGAACTCAGAGGGGAAACTGAAACAGCTCGGGGGTCTCTGCCATATCAGGCTGATCTCGGGGCTTCCAGAGGAAGAGGAAGAAATCCTAGAGGCTCCAGTGTTGGAGACCTAGGGTCAGCCCTCCTACGACACAGGTCTTTTCATGCAAAGTTGGTGGGTAACTTTACTCAATGTGTCCGGTTGGGGGTGGGGATAACTTTTTTAAAGTGTTAAAAGACTAAACTTGAAAGGCGAGGTTATTTCATATCTTAGAAAGTGATTTCTGCCAAAAAGCAAACCAGCTTTTAAGTCTGCCACTAAAGATGTGGTCACAGTGACTGCTCCAGCTTGAATGGAATTGTTGTCCATTAGTGAAGAAACTGCTGAATTCAGTAGGAAGTCAGGCTGTTTGCACCTGCTGTGGATCTTGCAGAGCTGTGATTAGACAGGACAGTCAGGGGAGGTGACTTGTAGTTCATTATCTTCAGCTAAACAAATGATTCAAACATGCAGATGAGTTCAGTGGGAGAGGCGAGTTGTTTTTCTACAGATAATCATTCCCTGCCTTGCGTCAGATGTAGGACAGTTTGCAGAGCTGTGATACTGCTTGAATGGTGCACAAATTAAATTTCCACATGAAAACGATGAAAGATTGGGATTCTTTCTAGGGTGGGTTTTGACATAGCATACAATTTCAGCCTGTCACACTTATAAATTCAGGTGGCCTCAAGGAAATGTATTAATCAGAAAATGAAAGCAGGAAAAATAACCTCATTATTCTTTTACAAATGCCCATGCTGCCTTTTGAAAAATGTGCTGTATTATTCCTGAAACATGGACCTCTGTTCTGCACATGCAATGGCGAAGGTTCATTTCTGCTCACTGGTGGGGAGGGAGGGAGAACTGAAAAGAACCAGGAGCTTTAGGCTCAAGAACCCCTGAGCAGAAGCAAGTGCATTTGCAGAGAGAGAGGCCTGACGTCCTTCCTGGGTTCGGTTACTCACACAGCTGAGTCACCCAGACTGGTAGGTGATCTGGCTCATTTCAGAATTCCCCAGATTCTATCAAAGGAAGGTTGGCCACTTCCTGTTTGGCCTAGAATGTGACACTTGAGAAGACTCTCCTGTCTTAAACCCATGGTGTGCCTGTGCTCCATGAAGAGATCAGCTGTCGGTGGGAGTCACGGGGGCAGAGGCAGCATGTACTCTGACAAAGTGCTCATAGATTCACCCAATATTAACTAACTAGTGTCACAGCTCCTCCAGGCCCCTCCTTGGAGGGTCCCTCCTGGCCTCCCTCCAGGACCACTCCCTGTCCCTCCTGCACCCCAGCAAGACCATGGTCAACATCTCCTTTGCCCATCAGCTCTAGGCTCCTTGCTCTTGTCTTGGCTGCATTATGGATATAACCTTGGATCTAAGTGAAGCAAGTCTCTAAGAGCTTCATTTTACTTTGGGGAATGAAGGTAATTTCTAATAGAGGAAAAATTAGTAAGACAGCTGGTGATGTTCACCTTTAAAGAGTTGATGTCCTGGGGAAGAACAGCACTTTAAGACCATCTTTGGAAAAGTGAGTGGGCAGGGGCTGAACCCCATTTCCAGCTTGTCACTACTGCTGTGGTTCTACCACGATGACAGTCTCAGAACTTTAGTCCTCCAGGTTAACATGTTTGAGCAAATGGACTTGAGTGAGATGTGGGTTCTGGGTGTTCCTTTATCTGTTTCTGAAATCTGTGGTGGACCCCACATATTTGTACCCTGAGTTCACTGCTATATTTAGAAGAGGATTTGTTGATGCTTCAGATATGCAGTTGTGGCTTTTAAAAATAAATCCAGCCCAGTATTTGACATTTTAAAAAATCACAGTACCCAAACCTGAAAATTAGGAAAAGCAGTTAAAGGCATTCTCTATAAAAGAGGAAACTGACTTGACGTGTGTAACGTGTGTAGGTCTGTCATTGTTCGTTCATTTAACTTTTAGCTGCATGTTCCACAGATAAACTGGACATGCAGGCGAGCGCCCTTTATAACATGTGCCCCTCGATATCTGACTACGTGGTGGGCCGTGTGACCTTGTCTGTGATGGCCTAGACAGATGGTGAGAGGAGTAACAGTAAATCCATTTTCCACTTCGAGAACACATGCTTCATACTTGTGCGGTGGCACTGAATTCCTACATGATTTCTGTGCCTCGTGAGGCGCTTTATGTGATGAATGACTGGAAATGTGGTAGAAGTCATTTAACACACACTGTCTATTGCACTGGCAGCTCGTCTCCGCCCAGACCTAACAGTGAGGGTTAACGTCTCTGGAGTTGCATCACATTTCTCCTGTGAATCATCAGGTCCAAGTGAGCCTGCAGAGACCCTAGGACTTGGTTCTGTTAAAAACCTGAAGGAAAAGCTCTGGAATCATTCTGTCACTCTTCTGGTGACTTTCTTACATCAGTTGCCTCTACAGCAAAAAAGGCTGTTCTTTTAAAACCTGTGCACAAAGTAACCTTTTTTCCTGTGAACAGTTTGGGTAAGGGGACACTCTCAAGGGTGTTTTGCTGCCTGTATTATTTGAAGAAGTGAAGTCGCTCAGTCGTGTCTCTTTGCAAGCCCCATGGACTGTAGCCTTCCCAACTCCTCCATCCATGGGATAGTCCACGCAAAAGTACTGGAGTGGGTTGCCATTTCCTTCTCCAGGGGATCTTCCTGACCCAAGGATCGGACCCAGGTCTTGCGCAATATAGGCAGATGCTTTACCGTCTCGGCCACCAGGGAAGCCCCAAGGCACATCGTTTAAATTTGATGTTTGCTCTAGAAGTCGTTCTCCTGCAGGACTCTTAGTACAGTAGGTGCTGGTGGCTGGTCTGGAATGACTCTCCTAGGAAACCCTATCCTTTTAAGGGCCTTTTACTCTGTGACAGCGCTGCAGCGGCATCTTGGCAGCAGACACCTCCAGCTAAAACCACTCCAGTTCATTTTTAAGGAACCTAACACTTAGCAGCTCTAGTGCATGCTGCTCCTGGCTGCCCGGGTTTATTTTTGACACCCCGCTTTGCCAAGTGAGAATGTGCTGGTTCGTAGCTCCCCACTGTAGTCATTCTCCCCCTCTTCACACGCACCCTCCGTGCACATTTACAGTTTCAGATGTGATTTTAATCTTAATTCTGTGCCTGAAATAGCTTGGAGATGTTGAAACTAAATCACACTGACATACATAGATGAATAATAAAAAGCTTTCCTTTTTTTTTTTTTTTAAAGAAAGGATTTATGGCCTTTTAAAATGACAAAGAACTATGTCAGCGGGATTGGGGGAGACAGCAGAGGGTTTTCAGCTGAGCGGATACCCAGGGTGACTTTGCTTGTTTCCTGATTCAACTGCGATCCTGCCTCAAAACTCCAGCATTTAAGGTCTGGCTGCCTCCTCCTAAAACAAAGGTGATACCCATCTTAGAAATTAATGAGGAGGAGTCCTTTGTCCCCATAGCTCCATATGGCTTTGTTCCCAGTGACATACTTGTGGCTGAAGGCTTGGGTTAGGACACAAGATGTAGTTTGTGACAGAGGCTCTGTTAAAACATAAATGAGGAAAAAAAAAAAAAATAAATAAACGAATGCGCTTCCCAGGGAAGGTCAGTGCTTACAGCTGCCATCTCAGCACCCTGCCATCCTCGGAGACGAGTCCAGAGGCGGGCACGGTGGAGCTCGGGAGCGGATTCTGTGAATTTCCCTACTGCTTCAGGGGAGGCTGGGAGGGGAGCATGGGAGGAGAGGAGACACTGCTGCCTGCACACGTGTCCCTGCCCGTCCCCACGGTTCCATGGGCTCCTCCTGAAGGCCCCCCGCGCTGTGAAGAGATGAGGCATTCATCAGTGCACCCAGGCCCAAGGACTCCCACAGGCCTGAGGGGAGTTGGTGGTAGTCCCACTGATGAACGTGGACCTTTAGGGTGGGCCTGGCCCTGCAGGCCTCAGGCAGTCCCCGAGGGGAGGCACCCATCTAACAGGTGGGGACGCTGAGAGGACTAGCTACATACAGCAGCTCCAGTCTCCCGTGGTTTCCACCACTGCTGCTGCTGAACGTTTACCAGGTCAGGGAAAAGTACAACCCCAGTCTTTGTGGCTCACATGTTACTTCTAGTCACACCAGATCTTTGTTACCTCTGTAGCTAAATCTTCATCCTCTCAAGCAAAGCGTGAGCTGTTTTCGACACCCAGGGGTTGTAACCCAGGCGATCACGCGAGGTTTATGTAGGACCCATTCCAAATGACTTGGACACCATGCTCTTGTTGTTAGGAAACCTTGCTATTTAAGAAAACCAAATTCACCCCAGAAGTCTGCTGTCACTGATGGCTTTCCACTGAATGTCTTACATTTGGAAGGTAACTGCAAAAAGGCATTTCTAAATGTGTCATTTGGCAATGTTAGATTTTAAAAACAAATGTGTGATTTCCCATGAGCACAGCACTCAGTTACACATAAAATAAATATTCTCTACAGAAGGAGTTGACTTGCCTGTGGTTAATGCAGATGTTTCTAGTCCAGATAAAATTGTGATTTTTTTTCTTAAAAAGCATTTATGGTGTTATTTTTGAAATTGATGCCAGAACTTTAAGAACATAAGATGTCTCACTATCTTCAGGCTGTTTTCACTTTTAAAACCCTTCAGTTGCAGAAAGAAAACAGTCCCCGGAGAGGTGGCAGTTTCCTCTGTGATCAAGAGCAGGGATCCCCCTGCCCTGCGGGGATGTGGCCCTGTATGGACACAGACTCCAGTGCATTTGAGGACCGGCCGCTGTCCAAGCTGAAGGAATCGGACAGGTGCTCAGCACGGGAGAACCTCTACCTGGACACCTTGTCCCTGGATGATGAGTCAGAGGAGCCCCTGGCCCTCGGGCCCCAGAGGGAGTTCAGGAACTGCTTCCGTGAGGTCAGTTTGGGTTTGGGTCTAGTCACCTGCAGGACGGAGGGTGAGGGGTTGGGAAGCTGGCCGAGTGGCTGCATACTGTGGCCCTGAGGTTAGTAAAAATGAACCTTCCATGATGTGAGCACTTTGGGGTGGTCCTGACCCCAGGCTCCCTGCTGCACTTGGCTGCTTATCTCAAGGTCAGAAATTCAGAGCCTGTGTCCCATGTGAATAGGAGTCTCAGGAGCAGGGGTTGTCCAGTGAAATCCAAGAGGAAAAAGATAATCCCAGAAGTGCAGAGCTGCCAATTTCCTTAAAATTACAGCACAGTCTCTGATTCCAGAAAACATACTAATAACAGAAAAAAGTCTTTTTTTTTTTTTTTTAAAGAAAGTACTTCACATTGGAAGTAGCAAATGTCAGTACCAATGACATACAATAAATACCTTCTTTATGCAAAGGGGAGAAAATCCAACACTAGAAAACTATGGAACTGAGATCAGTAAAGGGGAAAGCTTAGCTCTGTGCAGAAATCCCTACAGGATGGCAGTGAGTTTTCCTGGTTAAAGACTGATTTTAAGAATCACTGCCTGTGAGCTGGTCTCACAGTGGCTGCACCTGTCATCTGACCTGTCCCACACGCTCAGCAGACGGGGGTGCCCATCAGGCAGTGCTGCTGGAAGTAGGGACCTCCTCCTCAGCACCTGAACCCAGCAGAGGTGACATCACCAGCATGCCACCCCAGGGGACTCCGGCGGCAGTGTCCCGACCCCATGCTGACCACAGCAGCAGCCAGGGCTCTCTGGGGGATCCTTGAGGGGTTTGCTGGCTGGGGCCTCACTCCATCTGGACTGGGTCTGCACAAGGGTGTCCTTTGCTCAGAACCATGTCTGCAGTTCTCTTCTTTAGCGGAGGTCACTGTAGCTTTCCCAATGCCCAAGGGCGACGTTTAAACACCAAGAGCGCTCTACCTAAAGACGTCACACTGGCTTTTTTTCTTTCATTTTTTATTGCAGTACAGTTGATATACAATGTTAAGTTGCAGGTGTATGATATAGAGGTTCAGCTCTTAAAGATTATATACTCCATTTACAATTATTATAAAATACTGGCAGCATTCCCTGTGCCATACAGCACATCCTGTAGCTTGTTTATTTTCTATGTAGTGTCTGTGCCTTTCACGCTGACTTCTCTAGCCAGGCTGAGGCCAGGGGACGTCTACCCCGACTTGCCCTCCTCCGTCTCTCCCTCCCAACCCTTACTCCTCCTCTCTCACACAGTCATTAATGAGGCAGCTTTGAGGAGCTCAGACACAGCAATGCCCTCTGAGAAACACAGAAGAGCCACTTTGGGACAAAGCTTCCAGCCAGTTTTTCTCACGTAGGCCCTCCCTCATGTCCCCTGGATTCTGGTGTCATTATTGAACTTCCGAAGGGCTGAGGGGCAGAGGCACTCCTGGCCCAAACTTGGCTTCCACATACATTTTAAATGTTTTCCTAAGAGCAAAACAGACCCCTTAGCAGCCCCAAATCTGCCAGTACTGACTGATTCAGGTGAACTTATTTCTTCTTTATAGGAAGAAGAAAGTCACAAGGGAAATCTTCAAAGGTAAGTTAAGGCTGATGAAATGACAGTAGACTACTGCAGGAAAAACCTCCTGGTCTTAAAAGTCTATCTATAGTCACAGCAGTGCACTATGACTCTCTTCAAAAATGACTTATCCAGAAGTAGTTGCTTTATTATACGGTATTTTAGATCATTAACAACGAAAAAGCCAGTGCTGTGTTCATATGTGTTAGTGTTGTGGTGAGAGCTGTGTATATAAGGGGATAACTGTGTTAAACAGTTTTTGAAAAGTTGATGGAAACCCCTCTCTTCTGATTTAAAGCCTGGAAAAAACTCCCTCTTGATACGCTATGAGACATTTTAGAGTGACCATTTAAAAGCTCTCCTAGGAGGACTTATTACAGTATTACCAAGACTAATCCTTGAGGTAAATATAAAGTAGCTGGTGTTTGCAAACATTTTCTAGTAGCCACATATGTATGTAATGGTGGGACATGTCTGGAAAGGCCCATATAAGCAAATTTGTTTAAATGGAGCAGAAGGCAGGGGGAGGAGTGAGCCCAGAGGGGACTGCTGTGTGAAATGGTGTTGATAACAGGCATGAGCCTGCTCACACCGTCCACTGCCCTTGGGAGACTGGGAGTGCTTTAGCCGATAGTGATGAGGCCAGCGGGTAGAGGAGACGGCATTTGACAGTCCCTTTGTGGTGGCCTCTCCTCCTCCCCACCACGCTGGTATCGGGGTTGGACCTGGACTGTGGTGCAGTCACGTCTGCTCTAAGGCGGGGAACTCAGGAAACTCCTGCAGATTCAGCATCAAGGGTGCCTGTCAGTAAACGGAGAGGCCAGGCCACAAGCCAGGCTCCCTTCTCCCTGTGGAGCCTCTGTGGGCTGAAACACAACAGTGCAGAGGACACTTGGAGCTTAACTCCAGCTACCCTGGAGCACCATGCCCCTCCCAGTTTTGAAAGCCAGCCGGAGTAAAATCCGACCAGTCCAAGGCTCCTGCATCAGTTCCAGAGCCGTAAGAGCCCAAAGGGTCAGCCCAAGCGGAGACTGTCAGGCCCAGCGCACACAGGCAGGCCGTGGGCTGCTCTGGGTTTGGGGTCACGGGGCCATGGCTCCCTAGCTGATGACAGCTCACACCGCTCCTCTCCCCTTCCCCAGGGCCGTGTCTGTGTCGTCCATGTCTGAGTTCCAGCGCTTGATGGATGGCTCTCCCTTCCTGCCAGAGAAGGGCCTACCCCCCACCTGCAGCAAGGAGGACGTCACCCCACCCCTATCCCCTGATGACCTCAAGTACATCGAGGAGTTCAACAGCAAGAGCTGGGACGACAGGCCTCCAGACCCCTGGGCGGACAGGACCGAGGTGGGGCGGACGAGGCCCGAGGCCAGCACCGAACCTTTCTCCGACACCGCCTGGTACCTCACCACAAGCATCACCCTGACCACGGACACCGTGACCAACCCCGAGCACTGCCAGAAGCAGCCCCCGCGGAACCTCGTCTGTGCTGAGCAGGCTGGGGGGAGGGGGCTGCACAGCCCCCCTGCCATCCGGAGGCTGGATGGCATTGTGGCAGGGGTCGGCGAGAGCAGGGCCCGAGGGGGCCCCGGGGATGCCAAGGGGGGCCCTTCTGAACATGTGCTCAGCAGGTGGCCCTGTGCCCCCTCCAGGCACCCCCGAAACTACACGGAGGGGGGGATCCGGCCCCTCGACAGCACCCTCAGCTTCTCCTCCCCGCTGCACAGCCTGGAGATGCCCAGAAACCTGAGTGACGACATGAAGGAGGTAGCCTTCTCAGTCAGGAGCACCATCTGCTCCAGCCCCGGCGAGCCTCTGGTCAAGGACATGGCCTGCCAGACCAATGGGTCCCGGACGACAGGGACACAGACCATCCAGACCATCAGTGTTGGCCTACAGACGGAAGCCCTGCGGGGCAGCCCACACAAGTGTCTCACGCCCAAGGCGGGAGGTGGCGCCACGCCTGCGTCCTCTCCCTCCCGTGGCCTCAGGAACAGGCAGGTGGCCCCCGCCATTGAGAAGGTGCAGGCCAAATTTGAACGCACATGCTGCTCCCCCAAGTACGGGTCTCCCAAGCTGCAGCGGAAGCCCCTCCCTAGAATGGACCAATCGAGTAGCAGGGCCTCCCCAGGGCTGGCTCAGAAGGGGTGCGGCGAGTCAGCCTGGGCCCGCTCCACCACCACACGCGAGAGCCCCGTGCACACCGCCATGAACGATGGTCTCTCCAGCCTCTTCAGCATCATCGACCACAGCCCGGTGGTGCAGGACCCCTTCCAGAAGGGGGTGCGGACTGCGAGTCGGTCTCGCTCAGCCGAGCCCCGGCCAGAGCTGGGTCCAGGCCAAGACACGAGCCCCAGCTCCCGGGGCCGCTCACCCAGCCCCATCGGGGGTGGCTCAGAGACATGCAGGGAGGAGGGGGGAGAGGGCACGCCCCTGAGGCAGGACTTATCTGCTCCCCCTGGCTACACACTCACCGAGAACGTGGCCCGGATCCTCCACAGGAAGCTGCTGGAACATGCCTTAAAGGAGGAGCGGAGGCAGGCTGCCCACAGCCCCACAAACATCAGCAGCGACAACCACCTGGGAGAAACGGCGGTCAAGGCCGAGCCAGGGTCCATCGAGGTAATGGAGGTTCAGTCTTCCCCTTACCATGCCCCCACCCCTGGTCTTTCTCAATGCGGGCAAGGGGGAGCCTGGGGCTGGGAACCAGATCACCTGAGTTCAGGAGGGTGTTGGGAGGATAGAATAAGCAGGAACTCAAGCCCTGAGCTGCTGCTTAGAAGAGAAATTCATCTTATCACTATCAGTGATCCTCTGAAGACAAGAAGATGGTGGTCTTTAAGTAGCTCAGGGACCAACTCGAGTCCTCTGCTCTGGCTCAGTGATCCATGGTTGTCTGCTCATCTGGGCTTTTCACCTGAGGTCTTATTTGCCCTTTTTCTGTATGAGTTTGTATCCTGGGATCATGTGCGCCCAGCATCAGGCTTACTGCTCCAGCTGTGTGTGGATGAGAGGGTTTTGACGGTGGACACAGGACACCTCCTGTCAGACCTACAAGAAGAATGTGTGGATGACAGTGCTGACTTAAGTGCAGAGAGCATGCTTATGTCTCATATATCCTGTTACCCTCTCTGTGTGCAAGAGTTCTCTGAGCAGTAAAACCAGGTGAGATGAATGGATAAAGTCAACAGCATGCCTTCACACAACTAGATTACTGTCAATATCCCCCTTACACCTCACCTACTGTTATGCTACCGATGACCACACATTAAATATTATCACACATTACTATTATGTTTTCATCATTATACGCCCCTAAGGTTATTCACGATTCCACATGTGGTATAACTGGACCACACCACTTAAAAATCAATTCCTGTTTCTGCAGCAGAAATGAGCAAAACAAAGTCAGGTGATAATGCCAGGCATCAAAATAGTGGGCTGGAGGACATTTCCAGCTCTTGGTCAGACACCCTTGTGTGTAGACCTGGGGGAGTCCTGACCCACTAGGAAGCCAGATGCAAAACCTCCCCAGCAGTGCAGTCCAGACAGCCGTGGGCATTCTCCAGACCAGGCAGTCAGCTGATGGCGAAGGTTAGACAGACACCCTCTGGCTCCCTGGCTGCTCCCTCCTGAGGCCCTGCAGCTCCAGCTGCACAGGTGAGGACAGGAAAGCTGAGGAGGGGAAGAGGTGTATTTCTCTGTGTCACCTGAGCCCCCTGCCATCCACACGTCCCACAAAGGGATAAGTAATGTGCGGCTTCCCACTGTAATTCAAAATACAGAGTTAAATCTGAAGTAGATGAAACCATGTGAAATTGCCAGTGACCTTCAGAACGGCAATGTTCTGTGGTTCACCCTAATATTGATCGTCTGGGGCCTACGCCTGTCAAAGGTACGTGTCTGTGGGAAAGCTGCCGGTGTGCTCTGAGGCGGTGGCTGCCTGTGCTCAGGTGACAGATGGTGCCTTCCGTCACCCCACCCCTCCCACAGTGGGGCTAAACCACCCTCAGGTAAGTGTTTTGCTGCTGCAGGGGATCTAGCAGGGAGAGCGCCCCATCTTCTGGGACTGAGATCTTGGGCCCAGAGCATTACTCATTTGTATTAGACACAAAATGGGTTTCATTTTGGGGGCTAAAAATGCTGAGTCACAAATGAATGTGAGACTATAAAGGAAATGGCTCAATAATGGGATCACACCACTCAGGCACAAAGCCAAGCCCCACCCTTTGGTCCTCCATAAAGTCTCTTTGCTACCAGAAAAGGTGATGGCTGATTTAAAGGGGGCCCAGGGCCGGTGTCAGGGGTTCACACCGGCATGGAGCTCCCTGAGCAGTATTGAGATATCATGGTCTTCTTCCTTTTGCTGTGGGAAATAGCTTGTTCTAGATTTCAGGGAATTATTCCTCACCTGAGCTGACTTACTAAGTAAGTCCCTCTCTAGATGGTATGGCAGTTCTGGGTTTTCATTCCAAACTCCACTTGTTCTGTTCCACCCTGCCCTCCTCTGAACCCATGGTGCATCTTCCATGAGTGCTCACGGCGACCCCAAGACACGGTGTTGAAGGACCCCTGCCCAGGAAGGGGCACTGCAGGAAACTCCCCCTCTCTCCTCAGGATCACCCCACAAGCTACTTGCTCCTTTGTTTCTCTTGGAGTCATAGCACAATGCAGACAGAGGCTATGGACAGGAGGGCTGGGGTAGAGAGAGAGGAGAATCTGAACATGACTCAGTTGAAAATTTGAAGGGAAAGTTTTAGTCTGGGCCTCAGTCATTTGGTCATTGTGACTAAGACAGTCTTGCTGTTTGTTTAATGGGCTCTGTTTCAAAACCAGCAGCTGTAGGGTATTGGAAATGCTCGCACAGGGCAGCTCAGGAAGAACAGGACAGGCAGCGGAAGGGAGAGGCTGCTCTGTCGTGAGGCCCCTCCTGCGTGGCCGGGTACGGACCGGCCTATATGCCCACTTCTGCTGAGCCTCACTTCTCTGGATGGCTGTCCCTGGAGCTGCCACCTGGGCCTGTTGACTTTAAACCTTTACTGTTGTTCTTCTTTTAAAGTACTTTCCAACCTACTTGCTTTTCTTTTGTCTGTCTCTTCTGTCCAGAACCAAACTGTCTTACTAACTGCCCCCTGGGGACTCTAGCCCGCCTCACTCCGTAAGTGCTTTCTTCCTTCTTTTCACTGTCTGCAGAGCTTGTTGGGTAGCTCAGGGCTGGCCCAGGGTCCATCTAAAGGGACAGATCGCCAGCCTGGACAGGCCCACGTGCCCCCACACACACCCCTGGGTGCTGAATGACCATACTAGAGGGAAGAAATACAAACGTATCTTGACCTTCCAGGGGTCACCACAGGTGACCAAGTGCTCGACAACTATGTCAACACACAACAGTCACTCCTGCCCCAAAACTGTGGAACCACCTTCAGAGCCCTAGTCGAGGAGCATGAGAAAACACCAGCCTCGTTTCCGATCAAGGCTAGTTACCTCCCCTTATCCACTGGCCTTAAATACACCTGGCTCTCAAAGACCAAGCCTGGGCTCATGAAATATGACAGAATGGCTACAGCAGCCCTTTCTAGAAGAGGTGCTCCAAGGACGAGAGCCCCATTACTGCCTGTCTTCCCATTAGTGTTGGCACGAGCCAGGCGTGTTGAATTCTTAACCTTTTTAACTTATTCCACTGCAGGGGCTTCTCAGGAAAAGACAGCATCCTTTGCTTACAAGTGCTGGTGTGACATGAAGGAGAACTTTGCCCTTAACTCATGGTCACACAGCCTTTCTTTGTGCAGGAATGCACAAATGCGAGTGGAGAGGTGGCACAAACAGACCCTTGTCACTCAGCATCAGCCAGGTAGAAATGGGCCACGGTGCTGTCCAAGACCCTACTCCAGCACTCTACCCCCACCGCACACTGATACATGCCACACTTACACACACCTCTTAAGGCACCAAAAGACCCAGAGCCGTAGCAGACTTCTCAGCCGCTGTCCCCCGTACCCTTTAATTTCTGCTGTTTCGGTGCTGGTGTGTTTTCATAGGCAAGCTATCTCTGGTTGCCATGGTTTCCATTAGTATAAGAGCTCTACTGCTGGGGCTCGTAAAAAGCCACCAGCAGAACTAGCAACATTAGCATCATCATGTGTCAGTGCTTCTTTTCTGCTGGCCCCGGGCAGCAACCACTCCCCACCCTCCTGTGCTCTGCCCGACACCTTCTCCCCCCGTCTCTTCCTCACTCTGCTGCCTACGTGCGCCTCGGGTGGTCTCTGCTGTGCTCATCGCATCTCTTCTCATCCCTCCACTTACTTCTGGAGTGGCTCCGAGGGTCCTTGTTCCGTGCTCTTCACCACAGTGGTCTCCCTCCTCAGCCTCTGGTCGTGCGGGTGTCTTCTGGGTGGACAGAACTCATTTCCTCCTGCCACAGTTGCCCCACCTTTGTGCCCACAGATCCTGAGTCTGGGTGTCCTTTGTCCTGGCTGCAGACTGAGGATGAGTGGCTCAACAGTCTGTAAAACCAAAAAAGGAGCAGTGGCTCTGAGAGGCATACTATAGGTGACCAGCCTCAGGGTTCTCGGAAGGAGCAGGAGCCCGGAGCCCAGAAGCACAAGCGCACTCGGGCTCCCCTGTTTGGATGCTGCTGCCATAAGAGTCGTTAGATAAAACTGCCTCCACCAACGTTTCTGCCTGCAGTGTTCTGCCCCTGTTGTGGGGTTCTCCCAGTGCCAGTCCACCTAGAACCAGCAGCAGCAGAGCTGATTTGAGGGTGAGCCTGCTGCCGATGGAGCCGGCTGGCATCCTAGGGCCCTCTGGGGGTGGCCACAGACTAAGGCACAAGGAGGCTGGCCTCCCAGGACTGGCCACGGCAACTGACTAGATGCTTCAGAAGGCCGAAATGATGTGCGCGGCCAGGCAGGACCATGCCCACGGGGCCATGCGGACCACTCGCCCCTCTGACTCCCCTTTCCATTCGCTGCAGCCCAATTCCAAAGCCACTTCTACACATACCCATCTCATGCCACGTTTTCATCATAATTTGCTATCTTCCCATTACTGTTGGCAATGGTCATTCGTGTTGAATTCGTGGTCTTTAACATATTCTCTGTGAGCAATGTGCATATTAGCATTCAGACCTGCTGGGCTGGTGCACTTGTCTTAGAGAAGTCTGTGGGGGGTGAGCCCTCCTGGAGGACCTGTCCCTCTCCTAACCCTGTCTTTCTCTTCCTCGGCTCTGAAGGAACTACCTTGTTCCGCACTCGCTCCGTCCCTAGAGCCTTGCTTCTCCAGGCCCGAGAGACCAGCAAACCGTCGCCCTCCGTCCCGCTGGGCCCCACACCCCCCCACTGCCTCACCAGCTCCATCACCCGGAGAACCCACCTCCTTGGAGGAGCTCGGTGATGAGGAGCCGCCTGGGGAGAAACCGCACGTGTGATGCAGGTCGGCATGGATTATCCGGAATAATTCGCTGTAATTTGCATAATCACACCTTCGTCATCAACTGAACTCTGCCCCAAAAGGAGAGATCTGATTTTCCCAAGGTCAAAGAATGTTTTTTTTTAAAAAACAAAAAAAACAAAAACACAGCTGCTGAATGTTCAACCTGTGAACCTGAGATGTTTCTAGAATGAAACAGTAAATGTGCCTGTAAGAACTTAATTTTTTTCATAGCTCAGAAAACTATTTTTGTCTCCATCTTTTTTACACAAAGTATATTAAAAGGTAAATATGATATAAATAAATTAAAAATGAAAGTTTTAAAGATGTACATTGTAAGAGATTCTGAACACCCTCACGCGCAATATTGACTGCCTGTTAAATCTGCACTGTTAACATTTTGCTTTGGTTTATTTCCACGTTGAATTAGTGTGTTTTAAGTTAATTTTATTTTGTCAGTGTTCTTGTTTTTTAAGAATTTTTGAAATGCTTCAGCCTGTCGGAGTCAGTGAACTTTTCTTAATGAAAAAACCATGAAACCAGTAGACAAGGCATCTCCTCTGACCTAGAGGGGAGAGACGGCAGCATCTGGAAAGGCACAGAGGCCACAGCTGGGCTGCAAGTCCACCTGCTCCTCCTGACCTGCACGTCTCTGGGTGCATGTCCATAACCCTGCTGTGGTCTCACCCCCTCCACCATGACATCGTGTGACCCCCTCATACTGTAGTGTTGGTGTTGTCTTCTTGCACTGACGATACAACAGCATTTTAAAATTACTGTTAGAAGACTAACTGGCAATACACAGTGTTTACTCCAAATTTTCTCGTTTAAGGAAAACCACCACAAAAAGTCACAAGCATACCAAATGGAAAGAGAGGGTGGTACCTCAGCATCTGTATGAGGTGATGATGAAGAAATAAAGTGTTTATTAAATGGCACCTGTCCCAACCTCTTGTTTGAAGCACCCTCCACCTTAGTTCCTAACGGCTCATGCAAGCTTCCCCTGGAGAGAGGAAGGGGCGGGGGGCAAAGGGGGAAGGCGAGTCAAACAGCCACTCATGTAAATGACTGGGATGCACTGTGAGTGCACAACAGCCTTGCACCCTCTCTGCAACAGTATCTTAGGATTAAAAGGTGACTTCATTTTTGCTAAAAACACCAAAATGGATGGGTGAGGGGGTGTGAAGAAACAGGTTACCCACAGTCAGGATGTGCCTGCCCACTCCCCTCCCTGGAAGGTGGGAGAGGCTGTTTCCACCCTGGACTGAGGTGCAGCTGAGCTGTCAGACTGACAGACCAGGAGTTTATGAAGTGGTGGTGCTGGTGAAGACAGAACTGCTTCAAGATGAAGCTTCTAGATAAAATGTTTCTGCAGCAAATGGGCTAATAGCTTAAGCTCTTTCCCCAGCATAACCACAGTTCCATTTAACATTTTTTTTTTTAAAGTTGGACATTGGAGCCTGCTCTAGTAGCCATGGAGACCAGCCTGACAGTTCCTTAGGGAGTTAACCAGTTACCATGTGACCCAGAAATCCCACCACTGGGTGCAGGCCCAGGGAGAAAGCTGGACCTTGGACTGGACAGGTATTTGTTCACCCACATTCACAGCAGCTTTATTCATGATAGCCAGAGAGTGGAAACCACCCAAGTGTCCATCAATGGTTCATCCACACACTATTCAGCCTTAGGAAGCAAGGAGATTCTGGCACCTGCTGCAGTATGGATGAACCGTGAGGACAGCATGCTGAGAGCCATAAACTAGTCATAAAAACAATAAATGCTATATGATTCCATTTACATGAGGTACCCACAGGAGTCGAATTCATAGATACACCAAGTCATGGTGAGCAGGAGTTGGGGAAAGAATGAGGATAGTGTTTAATGGGTTTCAGTTCAGAGTTTCAGTTTGGGAAGATGAAAAATTCTGGTAATTGATGGAGGTAGTGGCTGCTCAACAATATGAATATACTTAACTTTATGCATTGGAGAAGTAAATGGCAACCCACTCCAGTGTTCTTGCCTGGAGAATCCCAGGGATGGGATCACACAGAGTCGAACATGACTGAAGTGACTTAGCAGTAGCAATGCCACTGAGCTCTAGGCTTAAACACCACTAAATGGTGAATGTTGCAAGTATTTTACAACAGTAACAATTTTTAATTCAAAAGGTAACACTGAGCTCTAGGCTTAAACACCACTAAATGGTGAATGTTGCAAGTATTTTACAACAGTAACAATTTTTAATTCAAAAGATAAATACTTAACCCCAGAGACACTGCAAGTTGACAGGTATTTCATTCCTGCTCAGCCTCTGCCCACCGTGAGTGATGGGAGGTGCATTAACACGTCCACTTGGAAGTAAGCAGGCAAGCTGCTGGTGCTCATAAATGGGAAAGCGCCAGCGTCCAGCGCAATTACAAATCCGGGACACAAACACATCAAAGCTGCCCTGTGCAGCTTTGTTCTCAGACAGGATCCTAAGAGTTGGCAGCCCTGGCCCCCAGAGGCTCTCACTAGTTCAGCAACTCCAAGAGAAAGAGGATCTCTTAGCAGCTGCACCAACAGAAGCTCCAGGATGGAAGACTCTCGTGGGTCTGCTCTCATTTACACGTCACACCCTGAGATTGTCACCACCAGACTGGTCCAGCAAAGGAAAACCACCAGGGCGGTGAGAACAGAGAAAGGGTGACTGGAAGGCAGGGAAGCCTGGACGTGATGGGGGGGGGGGGCCCTGGAATCACAGGAGATGTTCTGGTCACCACAGAACTGCCCTCTGCCTGTGATGAGTCCCAGATACAGAAACAAAATATAGAGACAGTACAGTGTAAATCCTAAATTAAGCGGGGCTTGAGCTGGACTTGAGAGGAAGGCAGGAGAGACTGTCAGGGGTGGAGAGGAGGAGCAGAGGTGAGGGGAGGGGCAGATGAAGGCCTGGCACCCGGGCAGCGGCGTGGTCACTGCTAGAGGAGAGCCTGCAGGGACGCAGCCATGTCAGGCACCAGTGCCTCGAAAGTGGTTTGGAGCCTCTCTGACCATCCAGTTCTCTAAGGATCGGGCACATGTATTCTTGAATCCATTTACTGTGGAACCACTCCAACTTTTGCACTAGGGCAGGACTAGAGGATGAGATTAGTTCCTACACTCCCGTCCAAATGGAGTGAGGCACTAAGCGGGTAAAGAGCAGCTGCCTGTCTGTCCACGTCCCCACCCGCCGCCCTCATGTGCAATGTGCTCTTATGTCCTAAACAAAGAGGCAGAAGCAGATTCCTCCAAGCCAGCTAAGAGTCCTCACACCCACCGGGCGTGCCCTGCCCAGTCCTTGCTACATTAAGGTTTTCAGTATTACGTGTCTTTTAAAAATATATATCTGTGCGAATCATAATTCTAATTCCCTTTAGCACATCTGTGTCTCACTCACTTTACTGAGCTTGTCAGAGTTATGCATATTTATTCTGTCCAAAAAATAGCTGAGAACTGCAACTATCATTTTCTATTTTCTAATTCATTGATTTTTTTTTAAGTTGTGGATTTTAACTGTGTTTTAAAAACCATTTTAAAGTATACGATCCCATGGGATTCGGAACATTCACAATGTTGTACAGTCATCACCACTGTCTAATCCCACAACATTTTCATCACCCTACAAGGAAATACACACTAAGCAGTCCCTCCCCGCAGCGCCTGGCACCCTCAGACCTGTTTTCTGTCTCTGTGGGTTTGCCAATTCAAGACATTTCATGTAAATGAACTCGCAATGTGAACATGTCTGGCCTCTTTCACCTAGCCTGTTGTCATGGTTCACCCACACTGCAGCCTATCACTACTTTCCTTTCAGAGTTGAATAATATTCCACTGTATAGATTACTACATTTTCTTTATCTGTTAATTTTTAAAACAAAAGGAAATGCTTTGTTTACCTTAAATAGCCTTGATGGTTCCCCAAAAGGAAGTAAGTCACAATGAATAATCAGGACACTCAGTTCAACTGCTCAGTCGTGTCCAACTCTTTGCGGCCCCATGGACTGCAGCACGCCCGGCTTCCCTGTCCACCCAGTCAATTCGAAAATTTGAGGCACTGCAGTGTCTTTAACATCAAACACAGTCATTTCCTGGGGCCACCAGTACGTGTTATACTTATGCTTTGTCTGCCTTTAGTCCTCTCGGCACCATTCTTTGAGGCAGCACTGGAAACCAGTATAGCAGGAACTCAGGCTGAGTCATAAGCAAGTTGGCCATTTAAGTGAATCTGATGACATCAGTCTTTAGTAAACTCTGGGCTACTCCACTCAGACTAGGGAAAGCTGAATTTGAATCCTGGTTTGAACACAAAGGACTGCAATCTTAAGGGGCTATCTCTTTTAAATTCATCTGAGTGATAACAACAATAATACATAATTCCCAGGGCATGTAAGGATTAAGGTTTGCTGTGTACCTACTGTGTGCAAGATCCTGTGCTAAGATCTGTGAACAACAACTTTCAACCAGGACCAAACAAAACAGAAAGAGGCTCCCTGCTCTCTCAGAACTTATGTCCTGTGATGAGAGACCAGAGTAAACAGGTGTGAGTGTAATGGAGAACACTGAGCTAAAAGGCTTCCCTGGGAGAGACCCCATGAACTGAGGTCTGGGCAAGAAGCAGCTGTTGGGCATTCAGAGGACGTAGCTGGTGAAAAGTGGCGATGAAGAGCTGAGTCTGTGTGTGTCCCTGGAAGTGAAGGATGGGTACTGTGACCTGAGGGGGGCGGGGGAGGCCTCACAGTACACAGGGAAGAGGGAATTTTACACTAGGTCAGGGGGAAATCCATGGAACGATATTAAGCAAAGAAGAAAAGAACTTTATAGAACACCACTGTAATGTGAGGATAAGGTTGGCCCAGAATGAAGGCTTCCCGACAAATGGCTGCTGCGCTGACCCAGAGAAGCCTTGCTGGTAGCTCCAGGGTTTCTGCTACTGTTGTTATTATTAGCATCGCGCCACCAGGCTGGCCACAGGCCGCT